CTAGACCACAGCACCACATGTCAAAGTCGAAACTGCTTTGCACAAACTCTGAAGTTAGTTCGTCCACCGGCAATGACCTCCTCTTCCCGAAAAGCTAGGCATGTAGCTCGCGATAGATGGACATTATGGATGGGATGTCGACATAAATTATGGCCTTCCTTTTCTTGGCTGCCTCGGCAATCAAGTACGCGCCGCTGTGGCTACATACGCAATTATGTTTTTTTATTTTTTATTTTTTATTTTTTTTTATTTTCTATTTTACCGCGCGCGGGTGGCTTTAGGGGGCCTTATAATTATATTTAGGTTGATCTGAAAGGGTAGCAAAAGGAAAGATATCAGGACTGCCTACCCGTACGCTGCAACCTACACTGGATCCGACCTGGAATCCGCGCCGTTTCAGCATGCCACAACGGCGGTTCCCGTTCCTCATGGTCCGTGTCTTTATTCAAATTCCTGCGTTCCCGATACTTACGGTCCTCACCTTTCACAATCGCGAGATTTGAAGCTTTGTTTCGAAAAATGACGCTTTGGCCAGTAGGGGAATTAAATCGGCTATTTCATATCATGTATCACAATCAGCCCACCGGTACTCTTTCCTGTGGCCAGGAACCAGGTTATACCATTGTACATCTCAATTTCGAAAATCCTTTACTTTACATCCATATTATTTCCCGAGTTACGCCACTACCTTGGAGGGGGAAATATATGATGGACCTATGGGGCCACGAGCCAGAAGACGGGAGTTCCGCGCGGTGTGGAGAATTTTTGACGTCGGATGCATCCGAGCTACATACTTACTGGGTAGTTAGTACGGGTTTGCAAGGAATTCAAGCAGGGACTCCCGTTAGGAGGAAAATCCGTCCAAACACGAAGCGAGGAGCTAGGAGGAGGACTAGGAAGAGGAGAGAGGAGAGCGGAGGAGAGTGGGGGAGGGGGGAGAAGAAGAAATATCTAACGGAAGAGCGGTCAAGAAGGAAGGGGAAAAAAACAAAAAAACAGAACACGATATCGCCGAGTCTCCGATATCGCTGATTATTGCCCTAATCGATAGGTAATGGTAGGAAGAAAAGAACCGATGATCGCCAAGCACAGACAGCAAGAAGTCAAGGAAAAAAAGGAAAAAAGTCTTTGGGTGGGGGGGGGGGGGGGGCAGCTAGGGCTATCAACAAGAGGATGAACAGGATTCCCAGCGTCGGGAGAAGGAGGGGGGCAGAAGGCCGGTCGGTATGTATGTACCACTATCTATAGATGGTGACCTCCACTGAGGTTGGCAGCAGCTGGGGTTGAGCAATGAGAATCAACGGGTTCAGTGCGCCGATAGAGACATGAGAAACTGGAAGGTGGGGATCGGGCAAGCCCATAGGATATTTGCCGATACTTCCCGTCGCCGTTTTTTAATGGGCAATATTGCTTTTTATCCCTGACAGACGGTGATGATGAGATTGATGATGGGTCATGGATGACCTTCAGCTATCCTCGTTTACATATAGATTGTTTGAACCCTTTTGGTGGAATTTACCAGGTTGTTGGTAGAGACGTCCGGGACGTACAACGGTGAGATATACCTAGTGTACGAGGACTGACTGGTCGGGTCTGAAAGAGGACCGTACTTCACTACCTATTCCATGGCCAGTACTACAGTACTATCTAACCTAACCTTGAATAAATCTCGCCAATACTGGTCTGCCAATATATATACTGTAGTGGCCTACGGTAACTTACGCGAACTTGACGTCCCAGGCCAGGTTCATATGAAAACCAAAGCATATGTACTGTATGTACATCTATCCCATAGGATGTATCTTTCCACACTCTAGTCTACATTGTAGTAAGGGTAAATCGATCTGGACCCGGAGGATCCCGTAGCCGTAGCATAAATTGGTATATAGCTAGGTACTCTATGATAGCTACATGTAGCTATTCTCAGGAGAGCAAGTAGGTAGGGCACCGGCAGTGCTTCCATATTATATACTTTATCTGCATATATACATCTATACCCAGATCGCGGGGGATGGGGGCGCGTACAGTGATCATGAGTGGGACATTCAAGACTGTGATATGATCTGACTTTTGTCGTCATTACCGGCGGGAGAAGATCCCACAAGAAATTCTTTCCTTCTTTCCAGTTCCAGCTATAAGGCCTTTTTTTCCACTTGGAAAAAGGGGTGAAAGCTTAGTTGCTAGCTATATGCCCCCCCCGGGCCTAGCCATAGGCAGTACGCCTGGAAGAAGAAGATGCAATACCTAGGTACATACTTATGGATGCCTTTTCATGTCGGCAGTTTATGGCGCCGCCGGTATGAATGGGGGTTCTACGCGGCTGAATGTTGAGGTGCGTTCTTTTTTTTCCCTCTTTCTTGCGTTTGAAAGCGCTTGTTGAAACAAGCAACTCAACTGCTATTTTGTTTTTCATTTTATTTTTTCAATTTTTTCCCCCATCTCTCTCTATCCCTTTCGCTTTTTGCCATACATTCCTATCTATTTGTTTGCTGTGCTGGAATTGCAGGTAATTCCGGCGTATGATACATGCAGGATCATGCAATTGAAAGGAGACAGTATCAATAAACAATTTAAACTAGATAATTGCAGAATTAATGAAAAATGTGCAATTGCAACATAGTTGCAAGAGCGTGATAAATGTTGAAAAACAAAACTCTATTCCTGTAATATCAATATATTACCCTATGGTTTCATGACCAGGCTGTAACGTTTTACTGAAGTCGTTGTTGTTAGAAACACGTACCCGCGTGTCTGGCCATGGCAGTATCAGCTGGGTCCACCCGGCGGAAATGATATTCGGGAATCCGTGTAGTACTTTCTCTGCTCTAGCACATACAGCATGTATGTAGTCGAACAAGTTCTGTGGGGGTACCAAGACGGACCTCTGCGAAGTATTTAGAGTGGATTCTAGAACTACCAGGGCTCATAACGCCTAACTGGTATATCTACATATGTATGGAGGAGGGTAGAGCAGAAAGGCGGGAAAGGATTGAATTGAACGCATGCATCTACCGAACCGAGATGAAGGGATGGATAGCAACGTTTGAATAACGTTTGAATATGGATGGATCATGGATGGCACCTCGGAGCGTGCATTTCCAGGAAATCGGTGGAAAGAAGATGGCTTCCTTCCGTTGTACGATGTTTGATGACGCGATCACCCGTTTTAATGTCTCACTTAAGCTTGTGTTTTTGTTTCCTGTGATAACTGCTTTTGGAAATTGGTACACCACGTTTGGTTGGGATCCCGGAACTTCAAGTGGACATGATGGTCTCACTGCATGATGGCATGCGTGGCTTGGTACTATTCAGCTACAGTAAGTTACTCACTCGGTAATAATAAGTGAATATATGGAACACACACACCTTCACATATATGCTCCCAGGCCTTTCCGGCTCTCCAGGAATTCGGAAGACGGAATTACGGGAATTACGATAGGTACTCTTGCAGTGTGCGTGCAACAGGCGTTTTGGAGAGAGGGAAAAAAAAAGAAAAAATGGTGTGGGTGTGTGGGGGACAGAGGCAGAAAACGGTAGTCAAGGCACCGTATGTACCGTATGTACCTAGAGTCCGGTTTTGAAATTTTGTTTGGTGGTAAGTTTTCCTGCAGCACGACATAAAACATCCTAATTAGTGCATCGAAAGGAAACAAAATTTGATGGGTCTCCCTTCAACCGTATATATGTACGTACGATTTGATGTTTCCAGACATCAGGCCTGAAACGTATGCTGGGTAACATGATGGCCGCGCAATGTGTGTCCATGTGTATGACTGAGTCCCGGAGATACTTGTTTGGATAGCCATAAGAGTTAACATGAGCTCTTTCCTTCCCTTTCAAACCACCCGGTAACTGGGTACACACTCTGGGAAATTACAGAGTGTTTTTATTGCATCTGAATAGGGTCTACTAGGGCTAGATCGAGAATGGCAATGATGGCAAGGCATCCGACGGGGAAGCATGCAGGTTGATTAAAACTCTACACCGTCAGTCTGAGACATGGAAATCTAGGCATTTTTGAAAGTGATATGTGAGATGCAATGCAATGCAGTTACTGGGTTAGGGTTGGCAATACCAGACTTTTCTCTGGTTCTTTGCGGTCAGAAAACATACCTACAGGGATATCGATGCCTACCAAAATTCTTTATCAGTAGGTACACTGTAACGCAACACGACGGCTCAGCCCATGGTGGAATGGGGGAGTTTACTGGGACCACTTTTTTCTTTCCTTCTGAGGGAGATACAGGTTTCGACGACCCAGGGTATTGGAACCAGATGCATCGGAGTGTTGTACGGGAAAGGTGTTTGAAGGTGCGTGTGAAAGGGCATTGATGAGAAAGAGTTGGCCGGTTAAGCGACTGCGACTGCCGGCCCTTTGCTTTGGGTTGGAGTGTGCCTATCCTGTAGACCGGCAAGTAGCCTTTCCGGATGTTATTTTCATCTGAGGTACTCTACTGTGCTGGCTCTTAGTACATCTCATTTTTTGTGTTATCCGGTCTTGTTAGCGCTGCTTCATAGGCACTCACTCGACACAATTTTTGCCTTCTATTAATCGATTCATAGATTCATTCTTGATTTTTGCCTCTTAGATACTTCTATCCAACTTATAACCAAGCCTGTTACTGTAGTGGAGGATCACAAATTAACAATTAGTCAGTAATATAGTTGTCACGCAATAGTTACTAAGTCGGTAGTAGTAGGGAGTAAGATAGCGGCAGTCACCATGTGGTAAGAATGTCACGCTCACCTATCACACCGACAATAGTACAGAGGAAGGGTAGGATCAATTCCATCGCCACAACAAAGCCAAAAGTAGATTTTTTAGTGACTTTAGGTATACTTCTGAGGCTACCCTGTGCTTTTATCATCATGTATGTATATACAACTCACTAGGTGGATTTGCCTTGGCATGATTTTCTCTCCCTGTAGGAACGAATCCACTAACACCAACTAATCAACTGCAGATCATCACTCCAGTCGGCACGGACATTCGTGAATATTTAACTGAGTCCCGGGGCCGGCATGTCAAGTTATTAGCACATGTATGTAGAGTACTATCAGTTGCAGGCAGGCTGAAACACGCAACGCAAACACGGACCTGTAAAGTGGTGATATTTCCGGCGAAATGGAACTGCCGTCAATTCAAGTCCCACCCAACACCTTCTCGGGTCTCGGATAATCTATAACCATAAACTCGACATTTCGGTGGTCTTTGGTTGTGGTTGTGATGGTGGTGTAGATTGCAATCTAGGTACTAGGTATCTGCTGCCATAAATTAGCCTATGGATCAATTGAGGGATGAACTTCTTACCTTACACAAAGACAGGGGTACTTCTAATGATGACATTCGATCTGCAGCATTCTGCTCAGCTAAAAAAAAAAAAGCTTGTGGTGCACGTCAATCAGATCAGTATTAAATCCCCCCGTTTCACACGCGGAAAGAAGGTTTTTCTGTTCTTACCCCCTCCTAATCAGCCTGTTAGTCAAGAGAGGCTTATAGCTTATGCCCTAGAGCGAAGCAAATATAAGGGTATATTTATAATGCGCAGCTTACTGGGAATTTACGGCTGGCTTCCCTTTCATCCTACGTTTGTGTTCCTAACATTGGAATTTTCATGCATGACATATCAGATTCAGTCAACACAACGCAGGGGAATTCAATTCTCTCGACTAGGAGCGGCTGCAACGTACTGTAAGTGCCTACATATGCTGATGTCAAACATATTAAGGAGTTATTTTTTTTTTAAAAAAAAAAAATCTGCATACCTCGAGGTAACTAGTCCGACTTCCACCGATGGTGACACCCTGAACCGACCTTGATCAAGCGGTTATTCCCGCACTCCTTTCCTTTGGAACCCTCTGGTCCGATCTGTCATAGATGATCGAATCGAACCAGAAAAACTTGATCTCAAAACGTGATTCGTATACCTTGGATCATTAAGAACATAAAGATCGGTTGAATGATAACGCATACAAGGATCGATCCTTTAGGACTTACCATCTAGATATACATACAGCTAAATTCCGTGGTTTAAATGGCTTAGGGAGTGCATGCGATCGATGGCTTTACGGATCCAGTCTCCACTATGTCAGTGATTTTGGCTGTTCTTGAGTGAGCGGGACAAAAAAAAAGCTTAAAGTAACTAAATATTCAAAGGTATCAACCGTCTGAAATGGATCATAGATGTGTTTGATCATGGCGATGCCAGAAATTGATATTGATGTTGACGACGTTGACGACATTGACGACGTTGCTGGAAGTCACCATGCAGCAGCAACGGTGTTCTTAATGCAGACTGATCTAGCTAGCTGCTGAACTTAGTTTTTCGAACAACTTTTCGACGACAGTTAAAAAAAGACATGCTCGGCCTCTGCTATTCGTTCATCAATCAGTTGGATATCACTAATCACAATTCGTATCATTCTTATAAGATTTACACCAGACAAATAAAAGACTTCGCAGCTAGCTACTCTATTGGAGACAACTGGTAAATACACTGTACTTGTGTTCAATTATTTTCCATGCTCACTTTACAATCAATAGTCATATGTGCATCTTCCCCTAATAAAAGCTAGAAACATATAATAAAAAGTGGATGGTCAATATATTCTTCAAAAAAAAAAAATTTGATTTCTCACGCCCCTGAGATCGGGTTCCGGATATAGATATATTCCTGTGTGTGCATGCCTAGCCCGTTCCAAGAACCACCAGCTAGCCATTGCGAGCACGTACTCGACTATAGGACCTTCTTTGAGTGCGATCAGTACATAATGTTGCATGCACGTACTTGTATGTACCGTACTCAACTCTAGAGTACATGTAGATAAAGTTTACGAAGCACAGACCTATCAGAGGGTTTAGTATGCATGTAGCTAGTACTAGAGTAGATCTCATTTTTGAAATAGTCTTTCTGTGTATATATCGGCGAGACACGGATTACTATAGCTACCAGCAACCATTTCTTTGTTCACGGGGATTATAAGCCATAGTAAATATAGGCCAACATTTAGTAGGAGGCCTAGGCTGTTTGGGGTTCAATAATTTACAACGAATTCGAAACCAAGGAATTTGTTAACAAAGTCACAAATTCTTGCCCTCAGGTAAAAGGGTCAGCACTCTTTGCTAGACTAAGGGATAAGTGGGAGTAATGTTGTGGTATATGGTTATCAAATGCTATTTATTCGTGGTCAGTGAGTACTGATACGTGAACTACACATAGCTGTTATATCTACATGTATCAAACCCTCACTTTACGACTACATGTCTCGATGATCCATGTGCCTATAAATCAATGTTGAAACATGGGTTAAATGACTACCGCATCTGGAGGAGTACCGTTAGGCTGCATTATTGCTACACAACTGTTATATTAGTAATCTGGCTGGAGTTTTATTTTATTTCTACACCTCTATATTGTGGTGCAATGTTAGCTTTACAGTATTTTATGTATCTCTCTTCCGGCACTTGAGTGACACGTAAATTTCTGTAGGGATTTAATTTAAACCTATGAAAATCTCTAGAATCTGGCTCATGCACCTGATAGGATAATACAATCCACGCACCTTGGAGGATAAACTAGGGTATTTGGACCAAACTTGAGATTCAAGCGAGACAAAATTTGTGTATCCTTCCGCAGCCATTAGGTGAAAAATACGGATTATTGATCTTTCAAAAACAGTACAATTCCCGCCTCTAGCTCTATAGTACACATGTTTTCAGTTTGGCTACAACAACGTTGAAACTAGACACCCGCTTCATAACTACAGTTTTGGTCGAGAAAGACCGCTCTCGAGGGTACCGTGATCTACTTGTAAGTATATAATCATGCGTGTAGTTATATTGTCGAGTGATAATATATGATGCGCTGGCGCAACTTGTTTGTTTACTTATTGTGCTCTCATGGCACAGGCTTGGGTGACTGGTTGTTTTTTCTGTTAATTCATTTGTGTATGCTTTTAGTGAATGGTTAACTAGTTATGCCCTCACAACTTTCCAGACAGCACTATGCTTGAACGATATTGTTCGTGTATGATAACATGTATTTTAATAATTAGACATTATAGACACAGTTCTCTACCTGCCACGTTCTAAAATCCGATTAAGAAATCCCAAGGCGCCCTAATCGTTTAAACCAATACTGGCTCGCAATGTAAAAAAAAGCATAACTCTGGTTTGCATGTAAGCATCTTCTCCCATAAGCATACATAGGCCATTGCAAAAGAAATCTGTGTAAATAAAATTATAATAGAGAGAGCACAATACAATCAAAAAGATATGTATCTCTGACTTCACCCCTAGCTTAGCTCAATTTGGAAATGTGGCGACACTACCGCCCCAGATCACACCACTATCAGGCCATTAGATATCCTGTTTTTTGTTCATCAGTTCCGTCATCTGCGCCAGATGCTTCCTTGTTTCCAAAAATGCTATCTCTGCCCTTTTCGCTGCCATTTCCGCCTCCTCGGCAGCACACTCGGCATCACGACTTTTGCTCACAGCATCCACCATAACCCTGCTCATCTGCAGCAGTTTCTCACGTCGGGCACTCTGAGGCTCATTACTCGCAGCGTTGATAAGATCCATGCAGACAGCAATGGGATTTCTCTTCTTTTCGTCCTTGGAAGGACTCTTATCGAGGCTAGGAATATTGGACGTGTAATATCTTCCACCAAGCCCATTAAAGACTTTTTTTCCGTCAGGAGTCTGAGGGATCTGAGCTGAAAGGCGCTTCATGAGATTCACAACCTCATCCTGGGAGAATTCACCGTGGGGTGTTACGGGCGAAGATCTTTCTTTATTCTTCCTGATAGTGGCATACTTGAGGAAACCTCCGCTTTCAGTATGAGAAAACTTTGGTGATCCCCGGCTAAGCCAGCCCACAAAGTTCTCAAGTGGCCCAGACTTAGATTTGACAGTTCCACTAGAGGTGGACTGAAAGGAATGTTGTTTGTTATCGATACAAATGCGAGAATTCTCCTTCTGGGAATCAATGTGGATAAGTGATTCAACCATAGGTCCTGGGGTGCCACCGAACCAAGTGCAACCACTCGGCATAACCCTCGGATTACTAGCAGATCCAATTTCAGTAATATCAACTAACACGGAACTACTTGATTTCCGGTAGTTGGTAGTAAAGATTTGTGCTCCGTCCACAGTCGATTCGCCCGCCCCATTGGTTTTGGATATCTCATCATGAAAGGTGGTTTTGTTAATGGACTCAACAGAGATCAAAGATGTTCTGGTACTCACTCGATGTTGAATGGCTTCCTCCCTCTTTAGGGGGTCGAAACTTTTGTCATTCCTCTGGTCTACCGGGTTGGATAGTCCTAACCTTTGATTATCAAACGATTGTCCTTTATGCCGAGAAGGTGGTCCAGAGAAGGCCGCCCATGAACTTCCAGAAAGAGGGGGCTGATTAAGGGAGGAGTGCGAGTGCTGAGGAGTCATGTCATTGACCAGCGATTGCATATAATTCCTTTCAATGCCTGGAATAATGACGTTTTTCGGACTGGTAACGTCTTCGAATCCAGTATTAGCTATTCTCTGACCACTCCTTCCAGGATTAGGAATATTACTCTTCTGCTGATTGTTTGCACCATCAACCCTCGGCTGTGGAGAAATTTTCGGAATGTACGAATTATGAATGCAATTGACACCGGAATTTTGGCTTGGAATATATGAATGAACGCAACGTCCAGTCCCAATATTTTGGGTTGTAGTCTTATTGGGTTCTGCGTTCTCTCTCGCTTCTTCCACCATATATCCTTGAGTGTTGAGGTGCCCCTTGGAGAAGTTTCTAGCTGGGTCCTGTGTCTGGCGACCATTTTCATGAATTGAGGTTTTTCTGCCAGGCTGCTTCGAGTTTAGTATCTTCGAAACGCTCTCATGTGAGGGAACCTTCCTAGTAACTTGGTGGGCCCTCTTAGTCTCATTGGCACCAGATATAGGCGGTCTAAGATCAATCGGGTTCGAGGAAAGAGTGCTATTAGTGCTAGATTTCAAGCTCATTTCAAGTCTTATTTGTTTAGCATCAATATCATCTGCGGGGACGACACATATGGCCCCTTTCGAATTCCTAACGATATTTACGATTCTTGGCGCCTCTCGAGGACGTTTGGGCCCGGGGCTATAGTTCCGTGACCATCTTTGGTCCTCGTAAGCCCTTCCCCGGTATTTCATGCGAGCTCCTTCGCTAGATGAAGTAATCGAACTGGGAGATGTGCTACGTTGGCGACTGCTTCTCCCGGGCAGCTCAAGGGCTGAACCGAAATCTTCGTTAGGAGTAGAGGGCTCACACCTATCGGCAAAAGTTGTCTTATTGGGAGTTGCAGAGATTACCGTGTGTGAGATTTGTGTAACTGTGTTGATTGACGATTCTGGTTTTGTCATCGAAACTTTCGTTGGGAAGTAACCGAGTTTTGTCCCACCTTCGACGCCTGCATCTTGCACTATAGTGTTGGAAGATTTACTAGCAGGAATTGGAGTTTTGATAGAAAATATCACTGGCTTTTTATGGCTCGCATCTGCCGTATTTAGCGCTATGGTGGAAGATGTTGGAAGCTCCTTTCTTCTAATCGCTGATGAATTCAGCGATGAGCTTTCCGAAGACAAAGTCTTTTGAGATCCTGAGTTGGTTCTCCCGGGTTGCTCTGTATTTGCTTTCGAAGGCATTGGATAGCTAGAATTGTCACCTTTTGACTCATGCCTCAAGCCCGGGAAAGAGAAAGCTTGAGGGAGAGACGGGAGTGCCTTGTCTTTTCCCGGAATCCTAGTAAACTTTGATGTAGAGTTAGGAGTAGAGCCTTTAACTGGGATACCACTCTTCTGTCCGATATATTCAGAACTTTCAGGCTGCCTGATAAGCATATGAACTTTGGAGGGTTGAACTGTCATTTTCTTCCTAAGTAGGAAAGGTAGACGTGATGGCAGTTCTGCCATGCGGCTTGGGATGCGCGAATGAGATAAAGATGTATATTCTGGTTCTTTCCGAGTCCGAGAGGGAGTAAGATCAAGACTCTCGTTATGCCCAATCACTTTAAATCCTTTACTCTCCTTTACTGACTTCCGTTCTGGAGAGGGATTTTCCAGTCGCAGGTTATTCGGGGAACCTCTTGCTGAAGGGGTGACATAATGATTGGAGATGGACCTAGGAGGAGCCAAGTGACTTGATAGTTTATCATGACTTCCAGGTCTAGAAACACCAGAGTCAGAGTAAGGTGAACTCGGACGGCTTCCATTAGAGCGAGTAGGCTCGTGCTTTACGTATATGCTCTATTATTAATATTAGCTATTTGTGAGGCTTGCTAGATGAAGTATATGGGGATTAAAACTACCCATTGATTGCGTGGAGTGCCACACCCTGTCTTGGATTTATTGCTCGAATTCCTCGGATGACCCAAGCCAACGGTATTAGATGATTCAACCTCAGATACGTAACTGACAGCCAAATCAACTGTACTCTCTGAGGAGGCAGAACAGTTACGACTGCTATTCTTCCTGGCCTTGATAAGTTGCTCCATGTCGTAGTATTTACCCTCAAAAAGCTACAAGACAGGTAATATAAATTAGATTGTTAAGTAAAAGGTAGATTTATAAAGACTCGAAGAATGAACGATTCAGCGGCAATAGGGAGCGGGGATAGCAAACAGTCAAACTTGTCACTGCCTCGGTGCCCCAACATAATCCCCGTAGGGTTGCAAAGATTTTTTGAACTTTGATATCCATCGGCATCTCAGGGAGATCAGTCTGTATCTTATTCTTTAGATCCATAAAATGATCGCCCCATTGCTTATCGTCCAGAGCCTGCAGGATCTATGTTTTTACTTATTAGGTAAAGTTGAGCAATAAGAATAAGAGAATTGGATTTATCAATTACCATTGAAAGATTTTCTTCATCTTCGATGAATTCGTCTCTCCAAAGGCCGTTTACAGACGCCTCAGAGGGATTCAACATGATGAAACGCTCTTAGAATCAGTAATTCCTCTTTTGATGTCTGAGGGGGAAAAAAAAAGAAAAACCCAAAGTTAGCATATTTGTAGTCTCGATACTGTTGTATTTATTACAGACTCGATGGTGTGTTGAGAAAACAGAATTTTATCAAAAGAAAACCGTCAGGTCTGGTTTGGTATATACGTACTGCAGCCCTATCTCCGTATTGATCTTGCTGGTCCTAATTGAGTGTATTTAGACGCCCAATAATACGCTCTGATGAGGTAAGAAGTTTTGAATGAATGTTATCGATGAAAGAACTCACAGCATGCAAATGGAGGGAGATAGTGATGACGATGTCGAAAGGATGTGAAGAAAGAAAGACAGGTGGAGACAGTAGAGGCCCAGGCAAAAAGTAAATACTTATGTAAGTCTACACTAAATGTACCCGGATGCACCTAAACAAATCCTAGGAAGGGTAAGCAACCGAGATTCTGACCACATGTATCAGTTATGTCATTAAAAGCGGAATATCAAATTGGTTCTTACAACAATTTATGTGTGAATAAAACTGCACGAAATGCACGAAATGACATTTAGATTTTCTTGGTAAATACCCATTCGAACGAGCCCAAGGTCGTGTATTACTATTGCCATATGTATATATATGTATTACATGGTACCCGTACCGGGCTTGCATGATAGTATCTCCGCTGGTCATTCACAGATCTACAGCTGCAGTCCTCGGTCCTGTCTCGGGAGGCGTCCAAACAGATTGTACGCCCGCCTTACTGTGTACACCCGCCTTACCATATTATAGCTCCGTAAGGAACGACTGTGCTCATATAAATATTTCTTGACTTTCCAATCGTCGATACGTAATCAGTGGGAAACCTCTTAATCATAAATTATCACTCGGACAACTATAAAAGTGTTAGGTGCAATTTTAAGACCAGCGCCGGTTGGGATAAACAAAGACATTACATGAGAATTTTTATTTGCAATGTCTTATGCTAAACCTTACCGAAGAATTTAATGCTCAAAAAATTGTAATCCCTTTTCGCCAATATCCTCAGAAACCTCTACTTATAAGCACGGATTTTTTTTCAGGGAGCCAGTCCAGCTCCCAGACCCCCCTTAGTACCCTTGATCTTCATAAACCCTAATGACCCCGAATCCCCATCTGGTGTGATGACTATCACCTCATCTGGTGTCGCATCTGCTTGCCTCATCTTCCAGGCCTCCTTCCTCTCGATACTCCCATCAGGACCAGGATCTTCTCCGTAGCTAGGTACGTCGCTCTCAATCTTCTCGAGAACAATAGTAGGGGCTCTGGCCCTCATCCTAGGCGCTGGTATAGGGCTGTCCTCTTCTGTGGAGTTTGTAGTTGTGTTGGCAGGACCAGGAACGAGAAGAAGCGACTCAGCGTGTTTGGTGGCCGCTTTCTCGGAGGGCAGAGCTTCGCCGACGGCGGCGGAAGCGGCTTCTTGAGAACGAATTTTGGCCAGAACCTCAGGATAGAATTTTGCACCGACATCTGGGTGGGACTGAGACAGACGAGCTAGATCAGTACGTCGAATTTTGCGATTTGGTTTTGAGGAAGTTCTCTTTGCACGTGTTCACCTTCGAAAAAGAAAGAAAAAATAAGAAAAAAAACGAGCCATACCTTAACCCGATTCACAAGCGTTGCCTCACCCAATAAACGAAAATCACCTGGCTTGGGACTTTTCTCTGCATCCCCCTTTACAACCTCCCTCTTCAATTTTTTCACCTCTTCCGGAATCTCTATACTTTCATATCTCGTATCATAGCTCACACCCTGGAAGAATGGTATCGAGAAACGAGACCCTTCTCCCGCGGCCGGAGCGATTACGCGGTGGGTTGTTGCAACACAGACTCCTCCCGTGATTGCTTCCATCCCCTTTCCCATTGCTACCACGAATGTGCCTGGAATTGGGGGACAGTCAATCCATGTTCCTGAATAATTCTGAATTTGTAATCCTTTGTGATCAGATGCTTGGAGGAGGTATGAAGAGAGGTCCGAGTCTTTATGTGGCCCAACTGCATCGGGTTAAGACGTCAATATCAAAAGACTGCCATTTCAACTCCTTGAGAGAAAAGAAAACCGGGAATAATCACACCAACCTCCCAGAGCCTGATCACTCTCCTCAACCTTCAATTCTGTGACATCCGGGTACCTAACTATTTTCAACCGATCCTGCCTCTTTGTTCCGCTAGCACTTTCGCTGCCCTCGTAGTACTTTGCAAACAAGTCCCTCTCTAAACCAAGTACTTCCGCTACAAGGCTCAAAAATTGCTCGGAGAAGCTTCCCATTGCATCCATGTATTCTGTGTACGTCTTTTTAAACTCTGGGAGGGAAGACTCGGAGGGCCATTGGTTGGGGCCTCTGAGCCAGCGGTAGCGAGGCTCGTCGTCAGCAGGAACCGGGAGCTCGGTACCGAGATCGAATTGCTCACGCCAATCGGTTGCACTTTTTGTTCTATATTTTCATTGGGGATCAGTAATTATGAAAGGGAGTGATAATATGTGGGGAGAGATCATGGGTCTGGGGGTATTAATCAGGATGACGACATACATCTCGTTTCCCAGGCGACTGTATCCAACAAAATGCGGAGCTATAATATCCAATCTCGGGGGTCAGCATCAGCATCGATCTACCAACATAACACCTCACACATCTAGATATTGAGCTTTCTTCGCTTCAATGATCACTTTCAACTTAAGTTTCGTCACACTAAGGCCGTATCGAACCCAACGTTTCTTTGGTCTCGTGAAACGAGAGAAGGGTCCTTCTGAAAGCGAACACGACAAACTTACAATTCTTCATCTCCAGCCGCAGTTTCTCTTCTTCTGGCAAATCAAAGAAAGCCTTCCCGAGCCTCACAACATTATCCACAAGCACAGTATCAATGCCCGTGTTCTTGACGTAGAGAAAGCCTACTTCAAGGAGGGCATGCTTCAGATTTTCAAGAAATGCAGGTTTTGTTTCTTCGGACGCGGAAAGAGAATAATCCAGCACTGGAACTTCGGTAAAGTCGGACATTTTCTTTGTTGTTTGAGTAGTCAATCACACTGGAGTGGATGATCCGAAAGATGGAAGGATGGGATAAAATGGGGGAATTTAGACTTGATATAGGTTGATTGTTACCAGTTCTAGAATCTTATTCCTCCTACCAGGTAAGTTCCGTGTCTTCCCCTCACTGAAAAAACGAAACAATAGCATAGCCCTGTTGCTGACTTGTCACAGGGCACCTTCTCATGAGGAGGGGTTGTCACCATCTTGCTACCGACTCTCCAGTCGTCTCCGATATCCGAACCCTTGCCCTGTTGGGGAATGGCGTGGCGTGGGGAAGATATCAAGATAAGCCGGCTGGTTTTAAGCGAGCCAATCAATTAATTATCCAGCCACAGGGATCAGCCACGCATCAGCTGGGTCTTCCTGTGTCAATGATTGTCATGGTTGCTGCGGACCTTTCCGTGCCATAACAGTCACCGGAAATGTCATCGGAGTCCTGCTAATTCTTCTAATAAATTTAGCTACATACATAAATAAATTTCTTCTCCAGCTGCATGCATCCGGGCCATATATACACCGCTTGATTTCCAGATATCCTACTCCTACTACTCTTAGTACTCCGAGACTGCTAACTATTTAACTACCTTTTAAAGGGCGATCTTTTCTAATTTCTACGATGGGCTTCATAAACCCCATTTTCCGTTCGTTATTACTACTGCTACTACTTTTGTTTTCTGCCATTTTAGCGACATTATGCAAAGCTTCTCCAATCTCACCCGACACATGGGACCGTTACATTCAAGCGTATCCCACACACGAAGTCCGTCCTCTCAAAACCTTCTACACTGAAGGCACTGTGGACATCGACACAAGTCAACACAAGCCAAACATCACTTTTATTCTCAAAGGCCAAGGGTCCCTCGTAACCTTTGAATTTGCACAAAACATTACTGGCCGGTATGTACGTCGCTCATTACAGCAATAACTAGCTCATCGCCTATACTAACAAATCTTAGATCTAGACTACACCTCGAAACAGATCCTACACTCGCATTTAGGAACCAATCCATCGGTATCTCGCTTTCTACCTCTGCTCATCGACGAGATAACAGTACCCGACTCCTCCCACTACTCAACGACACTATCATAGAAGATGTCCGTGACGTCTTCAAATATGTCACTCTTTTTATCCCTCCTTCATCCTCTTCAGTCTCCAAAAATGGAACAGCAACCATAGCACTGCGCGATGTGTGGGTTGTCTACTTGGACAATATACACGAAGAGAGCGAAGAAAAAACGATACTGGAGAAGATAACTGGGGATGGGTTAGAGGTGGAACTTGAGGAAGAAGATGCAGAACAAGTTAAAGCGGAAACAATCAGAAAAGCAAAGAATAGCTTATTGGCTGGTATATTAAAGATATTAAAGGATTCTTGGGGAGGATAGGAGACCTGACTACACATAAGTCTGGTTGTTTATTGCGATAGTAGTTTAAAGCCAATTTCTTTTTGTAAAATAAATTCGATTCATGATAACATGTTACAGACAATTATTTATCTAATCTGATGGGCCTAACAGTATTGTTATAGAGGCGAAACCGTGAAACCTATCCGGGGAAAAGAAATGGTGCGTTTTGAGCCTAACTGATCAGAGGGCGGTAGAAGATGTACATATGATCCAAGAGAGAGGCGAAACATCTTATTGGAACTATATCGCGATTACATATACTTAACAACAGTGGCAAGATATATGATATCATGTGTCAATTTCTGGATAAAACTGGAGTATTTGGATCCAGAAACGCAGGTGTACCGGAAGCCACAACCGTCGCCAACTGTATTTGATAGATAATATACGTGGTGAAAATTAGATTTAATAACAAAAACCATGCTCCTTTTGGCATCTAACTCCATAATCACCAGTCATGGAACCACGACACTTTAGTAAACATCATCTCTATGGTTAATTACCGCTACGATACATGTATCTATAACTAAATGACCTTAGTGATTGAATTATTCCATCATGGGTGTTGAATATTGATAGCTACATGTAGTAATGGGTACAGTTGGGTGTTGGTTGTGATCCGATCAGGTTGGGGCGTTGCAATGTCTTCTTAAACTCATGTCTTGTCACTCGCCTCTTGGCACCTATAATCCTGGGGATGCGCTAAGGCCGAGCCCCAACGTCGCGTCATCCCATCCACCGTATGTTACAATCCTAAACGTCCACGACCGCGGCTTGCAAGATCAATCCAATATGAATCTTTGTCATCTTTCTACCTTTCCTAGTTTCACTCAAGGTTAGGATGCGTTAGTCTCGTTGCCATATTTAGACCCACACAATCGCTATCAATGTACATGTACATGTAGTTAACGCTATATATATCCATACAAGTTAACGTATAACACATTATATTATATTAATAATTAGTGCATTAATTTGATCGTATTTTCAGTGAAATTAATATTCCTTTTAATCATACATTAATTATAATAGAAAAGCTGTTAACCATTAATTTATACCTCTAATTTTCAAATCACATCATATATCATCAATACCAATCAGTGTCCAAAGACTCCTACACCGATGCTTGATCGAAATAAATAAAGTATGATCTAACTAAGAGCACAGGTATGTGTAGATTGTTGAGAAAGAAATCATGATATCAGGAGGGAGAGATAAGTAGACAAGAAAATCTACTTCAATAAAATAAGTACGGGAAATCAGACTACACCGCGCATCAAGATGGATCATGGAACCTTGCCCACAAAGTCCTTCTAGATCTTCCTCAAACCGTCTCATGCCGAGTATCTAATCTTCTTATGAATTTCTTGATCTGTCCTCTCAGAATCATTTCTTGGTTTAAGGCTTTGTTGGGGTAGGGCGCAGACGTGGCCAACCACGGCATGTCCCCCACGAACTGCAATTCTCGCATACAATGCATTCGCGTCTAGTACTGGATCCACCACCATGAAGTTTCGTAAACTGTAACCGAAGTCATCCGGTAGTGAGCAGAAGAGCTGGGTGGTATTCGTGTATCCTACTACTTTCTTGGTAGTAACGATGGGGGTCTTAGCGGCCCTTGTGTATTCTCGGTAGTTCGTATGACTCTGATGCGGCTGTACAGAATAGGGTGATGTGTCCATATTCTGGCCAGTAGTATCAGATCGTGCTGATGGAGCCATGGCCAGGCAAGGAGCAGCAATGCTGAGGGTTGGTGTAGATTCGGTCTGGATTCCTTGTGAACTGTCTTGGAAATTCGCCGGCACCGCTACCCACGAGTTGGATGTGTGGGAGCCGTTTACGTGTATATTGATAGGAAGACTCTTGTCTTGTCCAAAGGAACACGATTGAGCTTTGACCGAAGGACCTTTGAGTTGATACATGGATAATTCTTCTATCTTGAAGTAAAATGAGAGTTAAAGAGATAATCAGGAGCACAAGAAAGATTGGAAAATAAGGGTTACGTAGGCTCCGATATGACCAAGAGGGTTAAGGCATAATATTTACCTGGCTAAACGGGCCTTTATACTAGGACCAAGGGGCGTACGTAATCAGACTCGGGGTTTATGACAGCTTTTCAAAACTGTGTTCACGACGAATTAAGTGCTCATGACGTCGATATATGTACGTACATGTACGCACATATATTCTAATGCGGATGGCGTTTCACGCGTGTACTGTTGGCGTTTTCGAGCCGTATGTACCAAGCCAACGTAACTAGCCGCATTTTTCAATTTGTGAAACTTTAATACGCTGCAGCTAACAGCTACAGAGGCATTTAAACAGTGGATATTTCTTTTTCATAATTAACCTTGAAAAGCTAGATCTAGAGCGGAGTCAGAATAGAGTACATGTATATTCGATAGTAGTATATTATCAACAATGGCCTATCTATCATTGGCATCCTAAGTAAATCGGTATGGACAAATTAAATTGTTACCTGATAGAAGCATACTATCGGCCTCAATAGCATGTCAGGTGATGTTCCCGACCATATAATGCTACTATCGAGGCGCCACTGTATAACGCAACCTCTAATGATTGGTCAAACCCGGCTTTTACCTTATATAATAAAAAGATTCAGATAATATAATACCTTAAAACACACCTATAGGCCTATGGCCTCATGTAGGTAAGCATTACTAATTCATAGACCGGGAAAACTTAAGCTTTCATATGAATTCAGCTTAAATTTATTATGTCCATTGTATGTATCTATTTGAGTGTTCGAACGTTCAATACATGCGTGTATACACAGTACTTGTTCTTCGTTAGATTTTGACCAGATAAATTCATTTTAGAACTGACATTACATGTAGCTCATGTATATATCTGTAACTACAGTGTTTATGCGGTTATTATGTTAGACCAGTACAGCTATATAATTTTTCAGCATCCCCATCGGAACTACATATAGATCTAGTACTAGCTATAATTACACAAATGAGAACACACTATCGCGCGCATGAGGCGGGCCAGCGCCGTTTCTCTTGGCAATGCTTAATCTGGGTAGATCCTAGGTTTAATTGGAACTCTTGATATTCTTGATATTGAGAAACTAGCCTTATTGATAATTGAAAAGAGAAAAGGCGACTGACTGGCATGATGATCATGGTGACTGCCCTATATAGGCCTGACTCGTATTGGATGTCGTAATTAAACGACGCTCGACTCAATCATAAATTAAATTCTTCGAGGTCTCCATATAAGTTTTAGGCCGCTAGCTCTGTGTCTCATGTGTATATACCAAAAAAAAGTAGGCAGAAAATCCTGCATGCATATGCATGGAACAAGGCCTAAAATTTAAAACTTATGTTGTGTACCGTAGATGAAAGTATATCTAGATCCTATGACTTCTCTTCAGTGTTACTCTCCACAAATATGATTAGTAGACGTAATTGCCTAAGCAATTTCAGATATCTATCATCAGGTTGGAAACCTTCAGTGCTGGGTAGATGCGTAAATTCACATGGGTGATCTAGCGCAATAATCCTTTGAAAATATTTTCACCACCACTCCCTAGGTCTTGGGTCGTTCTGGCACACGAAACATCAGGCTACTTCTTCATAATGTATATTATTGACCCGATAAGCCCATACGTATACGTACCTCGATCATGGTGATACATGTATGAGTACAATGTACGTACATGAATGCACTTTCAGGGTCAGGCCAGAATTGACATTGTCAACACATGCCCGAGATACCTAAATAATTATCTTAATCGATAGTTGATTATAATGATACACATATATGAGTTTCCCCCATTCTTATATAAATGTTGTAACGCCACAAAGCTCAAAGCCCTCATATCGCAATACCCTTATCATCCGACCCTCTCAGGGGCATGCAAAAAAGGACCTCACACGACAATCAATCAGACAAGGCTATCTTCGGCTCAAATGACATGGTAGCTATACACATATGCAACGTCGGCCCAATTGAGTCTTAATCCCTCTCTTTCCGGATATATTATTGTTGTCGCTGCTATTGTTGGTAATAGGATCAATCATCACGAGACAACGCGAGGTGGCGCCCTGGACGGTGTTGACAGTTGTATACTGATTTTTCTTCCACATTATGTATGACATACATGTATCTATGTTGAGAGTTACTTCTGGCTAGTTTAAAAAGAGTATATAGGCTCCAATAGGAGACCTATAGTAATCAAGTTGTATGTCAAAGTTAAATATATGAAAATAGTTTATCGGGTGGAGCTAGAAACGTCTCTCCAGTATAGTCCGGTGCGTAACGTGATACAGACCCGGGAAGACCGAACCCAGGCTTTGAGCCAGGAACTAAATCCTTACACAATTGCGCCCTCATATATTTCTTTAATCAACGGTATGTGATTCGAAAAGCGCTCAATCGGTCTAATGTGATGGAGAGTTGTATCGAGTGATATCTCATGATCAAACAGACCCGACTACATGACATTGTGTATGTAATCGGGAACTGACTATCGGTCTTTCATTGAATCTTATATTGGCTCCTATGAATCCGGTACTGAATTTTTGACAGTATGTAGAATAAGAACTTGTAGTAGAACCACCCTAAAATGCTACATGTTACTATTAGCTCAACTACTCTATATACATATAGGTATGTACCTATTCAAGAATTCGAAAATTTATGGGGATTCGGGTGCTTATACTTACACGTGAAATCTGCATACATCGAGCCTGTTCTGGCGCCTGATTATCGCGCTGAGCTGGTGACAGACCAGTTGTCATCTCCGATTTTGGGGGGGTTGGCATGTTACTGTTATCTGAATACGTGCGTGTATTGTATTTAGTGAAGTAGGGACGTATTGTTACTTACTATAATCTTGGGGCTACAGCTTCCCCGCCTGTAAAATATGCTGGGCCGATTGTCCCCCTCGATCGCAGCATCTCGGTACGCAGAAGACCTGGTTGTGTAATAGTTTTATGTTTAAATTCAAAGTTTACCTCGCCAACCGCCGTCCCACCTCACAAATTTTATGCCTGTGCGCACTAGTGCGCCTCTATATGGTTCGCACTAATTGTACGTACGTATACAAACATGCATGTATCTCCATCGATCCATCGTGAGAAAACCTTGATCAGCCGTAGGTTTCATAAATCTTAATAAATTCAGTTTTAAGCCAGCAGCTTACATGTAGCCACAGTTCAATTTTCAGCCATACGTATAGATCAGTCTCGGGATCATCAGAGCCAAAACAACGGCCAATCAATGTACTCGAAGTAGTGAAGTTGTCCAAAGTATGAAGCAGGTCCAGAAGTTCGGGCGTTTCCGGCAGGTTTACGCGCATAGCACGCTCCCACCCGATACTCTTGATTCATCACATGTTGCACGCTCTATGCCTCTGACTGAACGTATCTTCCTCGCCAATTTTAAGATACCGCGCTTTCCTATTGGTCTCGAGGAGTACAATGTAGAAAGCCGCAAGGTGCCTGAAAGTGGAGTGTCCACGGGAAATAAAATATTCTTCTAGAGTGCTCAAATCTATTGAGTAACATATCAGGGGATGTTTCTACAATAAATTGACCCGAGGGGAAATACGCACACGATCGTAGGAAGAAATACCACAATAGCAAACGTCTCCCCAAATTAAAGTCACCATGATTATTTAACGCCTTTCATGCAATCTTTCAATACGAAATTTATCCTTCAAGATTCGGAATGTCGTCAGGAAGACCAAGGAATTGCGCTTAGCTGATTGTCCTAATGACGGTGATATGGTGATCGTGCTCGTAGCCTAACCAGAACTCACTCAAGCCTGCAGGCCTTTCCCCCTCAGAGTTGCTACAAGTTGCCAGCTGAGCTTTCAACTGTATGATTAGCTGTCTTCAACCATCCTCAGCAGAGTTGACAGTCAAATATACTGCAGCGGTTTTAGTACAGGTTACATGTATATATGGTACCCGCGCGGCTAGTCTTTAAAGTGTAAATACCGGCGGCTTCCTGTCCTCTTATTCTGCCAACAATTAAATACAGGCGCGCGCGCTGTAATCTTGATTAATTATAAAGGTTTGAAGAGCTAGCGCTTTATTGTACACATAATGAACTTCCAAGTGTTTTCATACTGTCCCAGAGAAGACAGTATGCCTACAGCTAGCTGTTCAATTGCAACGGTTTACGTGTGCTAACTCCGCGTGTAAAGTCTATATCCCACCGGCGGCCTTGTGATGTGAGGTACGCAAGGCCAGTCAGGGTTAGGTTTGATGCATGAGTTGAGGATCATGGATCAGCTCACGAGAAAATAACGACCTTCCTACCCAACCATCAAAACTGAATCCGTCTCGACAAACTCGGGCTCTAGTTCACTGAGATGGCATCGATAGAATTGCTGTCAGCTCTAACAGTGCCAAAACTGAAGGTCCCTCCACATATATTTCAACATCTCAGACTAAACTAACCGACCTATTCTCTATAGGAAAAATGCCGTGAGCTAGGGCTACCTGTTGGGGGAAAGAAGGCAGACTTGATCACGGTAATTGTTTATACTCGGTCTACTAGACTCTATCTAATAAAATATACTCACATGGGAAACCCCCCCAACCAGCGGATACAAAATAAATTATCAGATACCAGTGAAGTTGTCGCTCCGCCAGACGCATCCTTATCTAAACCAGCTCCGAGCACATCCATCGAATCCACTAAGCCAGCGGCGCGTACGAAGGGTTCAATAAAAAGAAAACTATCTCTAGAAAGTCTCGCTTGCACACCAAGTAAGAAGGCTTCAGGGAATAAGAAACAAAGACCATTAAAGGATGTGGAGGTAGCAGATAATGCTCCACCTACCCCGCCACCAGCAACCGCAACAGCACCAGCAGTGAGCACTTCTAAGAGTAATCCTCAAATTGCAGCGCTTCTGAATTCTCGCGAAGACAGCGCTCGAGAAGGGTCGAAAACCACCGGAACAGCTAAGGTAATATTTACCTTAATTAAGGGAAGTCGATGTGAAAGACCTGTATATTGACTTTTATTAGGCAATTCCGCCTACTACCAATCCTATTATCAGCTTGGGCGGAAATCCTAGCCCGTGGAACAGAACACTATCTTCTACACACGATAAAGTCACCACTGGGCAGCCGAAAGATAGCCATAACCAACTGGAAATCAATAGTAGCAAACCCAATCGGGGGAGCTTACATACCGCTACACTTAAACTTAACCCGGTAGCCACTAAAGACCCTGGGAAACACGAGAAGACTGTTACAACGAAAAGAAAGAACGTATTAGCAGTATCTAATCAACGAAAGGGTGATATTTCTTTACCCGCCCAGGGGAGTATTAGAGTGCACCGATCTTCACTAGATACGTTAGGATTTACGAAAGCGGATGGGCGCAGATTCTCTGGATTGTCTATTGTATCTTCATCTGGGGTTAGGTGTCGTAGGGAGGGTGGCCCGGGCGTGGTGGCCCCTGTGGGGATTAGGAAAGCCTCAATTGGCCCAAATGAGGAAGAACCACACCCTAATACCGAGTACGGACAAAATGATATCACGGTTAGGCCATCGGCACGAGGATTCAGAGGACTCAAACCGAGTATCAAAAGTAGTAACTATGTAGCACTCATTGCATTGAATGGAAGGGTTCATAGATATAACTGACTCTAAAAATAATGCAGCTATGGATTCAAATAACGACACTGTTCCAAGTTCTTCATTTACTACCAGTACTCCACCAGCAACTCGAAAGAGTGATAACGAGATTTTAGCATCGATAATTCGTAATCCTCCTCGATACTCCTTTCGAAGAGAAGTTGAAAGAATTTCACTGGTTCTAGCATTAGTGGCGTTTTACAGCTGCTCGTTCGAAGACTCAACCACACCGGGATGTTTTCTGAAGCAGCTTGCCTTGATATCACGGAAATATAGATATGCTTCTACCCTTGCATTTACAAACTTGGTAAAGTTGGAATTCCGTGGCAAGAGGACACAAAATTGGTTTAAAAACAAAGGGATAGACGAAAAGGTGGCAGATATAAGGCCCTGGTACTGGCATCGTGTTTCTGAAAGAGCAAGTATTATTGAGCGGGTTAGGACATCGTGGATGGAAAGAGTCTGGAGATTTCTCGTGCTGGCGTCAGAATCAATAAAGCCGAGCATAGTGGGGAGTTCCAAGCCTGTGAAATTTGGGTTGTGGTTCAATGGGATAAATAAACACTTGATAACCGATCCTGATTTTATCGGTCAGTTTGAAACTTCAATAAGATTCTGGATCCGTCGGTTTTACGTATGGGTAACTAGAAATGGCGGTGGATATCCATTACTACTGCAGGACCTGCGTGATGAAATGGTACAGGACATCCAACCCCTCGTTGAGACCGAGAATCAAGACCTGTGGAGGGTAGTAACAAGATGTGGAGATGTTCATTTTATCGTGGGATTGACAGGTGAGGTTATAGGACGAGTCGAGGTAGACGAATCTATGGAGAGTGGTTTAAACCCGGTGCTTAGGAGAGCCAGGACCAGAATTGGCACAATTATTCGTTCAAGAACCAGAGCTTCTAGACTGTATTCACAGATAAACGAAAGAAAACGCACAAATATAGATAATTTTACCTGGAAGGATCTTAGAGAAGATTGGAAAGAGCATGCTTTAACTCTGGTTTCGCCCTCAACTACTCCCGAAGAACTAAATACCTCGTCAGGAAGGCTTATAGAGTCCGTGTACCGGCCCGATTCAAAGACAGTTTCAAACGGAATCCATGAGTCCATAAAGCTCCCGCACCATCGTGTTCTAGCCGAAAGATGGGTTCTTGCCCAGGTTGAACCTGGTGGCATATCGGGAAAGCCTGTTCTCGATACTATTCACAGCCCCATGCGTAGGAAAGAAAAGTTAGGTCTAGATTTGCAAGCCAAGTTAATAGTTGAAAGCGTTAGATGCTCTGGCGAAAAATGGATCTCTAGCATGAACGGCTATTTGGCTCAAGGTGTGGGGTTCGTACATACACCGGGTATGGGATGGTTTGTCTTAGAGGAGACAGGACAGGTAACACCTCTCCATCAGGTAATAAAATAATAACTAGGGAAGATATATATACTTATCTCTGTGGTCCCCTGACAGAATATTGCACAGGAAGACTATGGTATACAAGGTCTATGGGCTACTGTTCTTGGGGTGAATGAGAACGGGAGTGCGTTGAGTGCGAATGCTCTCGAGGGATTGGCGGAAATGTTCGTTATGAAAGATATGTTGGACTATATGTAGACGCTATCGAGACTAAATTTGGCTTGGTATCATTCATTCAGAATTTGAGACTTAAAGACGGGGTTACAGTCTCAAATTTATATATTGATAGTGCAACTTAAGTGGGCCTATATGAGATTTAGGTATATTGCTCATGAGTTATCACGGTTTAATCTTCCCATGTCACTTTACTGCTACACCAGTCTTTTCCGATTCGATAATATAGTAGACACAGGTTTCAGTACTGACCCTGTGTATATAGGAAGAGTTTTCTGGTGTGTCTTGGTGTTCCTCAATATGCACCTAATGTGTAATCCTTTGAATTCCAACCAGGATCGCTTGCTATTCGTGGCATAAGACCCCCTCTCTCTACAAATAAACCCCAAAGGAATTTTTGATCATATTATGGTTGGTTGATACGGTATTGGTACCAATATGTTGAAGGCCGCCGCCGGTTCTGACATGTGACGAACCGAGTGATATATCATGATTCATTCTCCACTTAATTTGTTAGTACCCTGGTAATCGATCGGAAATAACGATAGGTGCGAGACTTTGGAGGAGACAAGACTAGACCATCCAAAAGTGAATAGAAAAGGTCTTGTAACCGTTTTGAAGAAGCCTCGGGACTTCCTTTCTAGACAAAACATCTATAAATGTGGATTTTCAAAAAAAATAGTATACTATCAGACATCTTACTTGGCACAAATAAGCTCGCTTCAGCCAGATTAAACAGCTTGGAAATTACAAAAACATGCATGACGACTGGCATTGCAAGTCGAAACAAAACTACGCCCGAGTCCCGTCTTTTCTGTTGGTGTTGTGCCCATCACTAAGAGAAAAGGCTCTAAGGTCGGGTGCACGATTGGAAAGATATTCGAATGAGTATTATGTACTATTACAAGTGCCGCCAATTGTGCTAAGGAGCTCGAAATTAAAGACTTGACACCACCCGGCCTTGGAAACGCACGTTTGATTCTATTTTCGGTCGGATTCCAAAACTATTCAATTTTATACCAGATACTTCTCTATAAAAGAACTCACTATTATACAGCAATCTGTTTTTCCTTCATACATATACAAATATCCAAGTAAACACCGCCTGTTTGCCTCACATACATCAATATTCACGAAACATATATATCGATTCCTCATCTCAAAAATGCATAAAATTACCCTCCTTCTCGCGGCCCTTTTTGGCTTCATTCTCCTCCTCACCTCCGGTGCTTCCGCGAAGGATCCGTGCTTCTTCGCACCCGGCTACGCTCCCCCCGTCCACGAGGCCAAAACAGCGCTCTCCAACTACCTCAGAAACTGCAACAACAACAACACCCCGCGTGTCCCCATCATGAATGGAGGCCAGGAAACCTGGGGATGCACCGAGGATTTCGCCGTCTTTGAGAGAGCCGCCATCCGCATCTGCCCATTCACCGACGCTCAGCATAAGAAACCCAGGATCCAGTGGACGTGTGACGAGATCCGTTCTACGGGCGAGGCATTGATCCAGAAGTGTCAGAAGGATGGGCTTGTAGCTGGAAAGATGAGTTTCAGGGACCCGGTCAGAGGCGAAATGAAGATCACCTGGAACTATCTGAAGCCAATGCCACCACACTAAACCGGTTGTTGAGCCTGAGTTTCTCCTTTTTTGATTTCCCTTTTCTTATTACTCGGAGCTGAGGACGTCGGTCGTCTTTTCTATTTAAAGTTAAAGGTTAATTTCGAGTGGAGGAGCAGCTTTATTCCTTGTTTGATAGCATAAATGTACTCAATAAACTTTCTTTTCTTGTCTCTCTATCTTCTGGCAGCCTAATGAATTCGTAAATGTAAATATAAGCACGATGCGCTGCTCTCATGCATCTACTATTTATCAGTGCCAATAGAACTTGCATGAAGTAAAGTGCATCTTTATCTAATCACGTGATTACTTTCGACATGACTTTTGCAAGCGTGATATGTGGATGCAAGTAGACAAGGACACTTTACGACAATCGAGAGACCTATTGCAACCATACAAAATCTCAGAAGTTGCAGCGACGCAAAGTAAGATTCGCACTTACTTTTCGTCTACGAGTGTACTTATGTACGTGTACATCACGAACCAGCATGACAAATTTGCATGTGGAGACCACCGTGTCACGTAGAGACTAACACGAAGCCATGAGACATTCCTATACAGTGAGAATACCACTCGCGTTAGAGAGTTATTCAGGCCCATCGAAACGACTACTTTCCATCTTATTGTTAACTTACCAGGCTCTAACGTATAACGTGGCTTAACATCGACAAAGCCAGTGAATCGAACAAATCACAACTTGAGCAGATACGAGATGGAACTACTTACGCATTACCATAACTCATAAGACATACCGGAAACTCAGAACTGTTTGCTTATGAGGGTCACGAAATAAATTTATGAAGGGACTTGATTGATCACCGCCCAGGCTCCGAGTGAGAGGTTATGATCGTTCCTGCCTCACCTCCGACTTGGTTTCTATCCCCGATAGGTAGTGATATTTAAAATAAAGGTCTGTTATTTAAATACTATCAAATCCGATTAATCTGATCTGATCTTTTAATGAGATCTTTTAACGAGCCTCAGCTACTTGATTAGCGACCACCTGCCAGTCAACTCGATATGGCTTCTACACGGAATATCACTCGTTCAACACGTGCATTTTCTATTCGATAGAGGAGCCCCATCCTAAGCTCATTCAGGCTCTCGCGGCAAATTCCTGTTGTGATTTCTGGCATGACTGTGGGGGAAACATATATGAAAGGACGGGAGCAATGTTTCACATGTTAATAAGGAAATGGTGCAACTCTCAGATCTAGATCTTGGGTAGGAGCTATGGCTTTCTCGGTTTACTATATAACGGCACTACCATCAGCTATTCTTTTGGAAACCATTCCCCAACACCCATCTTCTTGGATCCACGAATCACAACAAGAGTGACCCAACCTTTTCCGGAGAAAAAGCAAGAACGAGTGACACATTGTGACAATCCCAGCCTCCTGATATTGCAGCAAGAATCTCCGGTATCTACTAATTAAACTGCCTTGGTGTTGACTCCTGAGACATTCATTTATCTAGATTGCAGTTCCAAAACCTGGGGAAAGCCTCAAGAAGCTTAAACTAGTGGGCACAGAGAGGAGCTGGGGTAATGCAGGAGCGATAAGCACATAAGCACTGCTTCTTTTTTCCCCAGGCGCACCACTTCGAACACCACTCTTCGGCCAGATTACTCCATAGGGAACGTGGTTGCCCGCCGACGTAATCCTTTGGGCTCTAATTGATTACTGAGAACGGGGCTGTGTTATTATTGCGCATAATATTCCACATGCTCTACCGGAAAATCCTTTTCTTCTTTCAAGCCGACATGCGGTATGTAATCAGGAACAATGTGGTTAGGCCCGAGCACTAAATACATACTCACGACAGGCATGAAGTACCCGAATATTCAGCTGCAAGTTTTTGGTGTATTTTTGACTTCTACTCCAATGGAAATTGCAGATTAGGACGTGCATTTGCGGGTACTTGTTACCTGCTGCGAGTACATGCGCTGTCTCGGATAGACTTGGTTTAGATTTTTAGTCACTAGATTGGCGGCACGGTCCACATTCCCGGGACGGAGGGGTGTTCTCGGGCCACAAAGGCATGTCATGGAGAGGCCTCCGCTCCGGTAAAGAAGGTGCTGTCAGTCAACGCTAAAGATCCCTCTGAGCCGAGAATCCTTAGGATCCATCCAGACCAGCAAGTTCGCCGGTGACGCGTACCAAACGGTGCGCGGCTGGTTTTACGTCAATATCACGAGGAGATTTAACTGGCACTTACGTCTCCAGGCTACCTGCGCTTTGGACCCGAGTGATCCGTTGTGAATCATAACATGCAGTAATCAACACCAAGCGCGAGAATCTTGGGTCTGATCTTATCTACACATCCGACGATACGAAAGTCTATCAAAGCTTGTATTACAGGATAGAGAATTGTTGAGGATAGGAGGTTCCGGAATCGGGAAACTGGAAAGGGCATAGGAGAATCAATTTAAAAATTGATGAGACAATAGAGCTGCTTGAGCCGTGGGTTCACTCGGGTAGTGGGAACCTGGAGGTGATGGTGGCTGCGACGGGTTTTCCAAAGATTGCGGTGGAGTGTGAGGATGGGATGAAGAACAGGGGAAATGATACCTCCTGCACACTCTTGGCAATGCTTGATGCTCATCAGGATAAACTCCAAACCTAACCCTAGATTAAACGTTTGGGTGGGTATGCCACGTCGACGAGTTTATGCCGGTATTTCTCAAGATGATGTATCTGGGGTGATGGAAGGGAAATATCACTCACGACCGCATAGGAAGTGCTGCATATTGAAATAAACGACACGGATCGATGCAGGCAAGTTTCTTTCCCACGAGTACGGGGAAGGGAGCGCTCCTTCCACGTATCGGGGAGCTGCAGTCTCTTATCGGATCTGATAAGATGAAGCGTTGCCTACCCCACAAATTTCAGGCATTTCTCATCCCCCGTGTTGTACGTACAGTTCACCATCTCTTCTTACTGGAGCGCTTATAAATGTTCAACTCAGTCAATCATTGCTCCGTATCAGAAAGCAGCAACCATCGTGAGAGGTTGTGATCGGCTTCGAAAGCAGCCTGCCAGCTGATCATCGTACCACAGGACCTGCAAGAGGGAATATGCCCGTTCCAGAAAACCAATGCAAGGACCCTGTTGTTCCTTGATATGGGGAGAGGGGAGCAAGAGAACAAAGAAAGAAAAAAGTGATCGATGCGTGCAAGCTTTGTACTAAGTGAACAGTTGCATTGAAATTTTGCTTCTCTCTCTTTCCACTCTGCACCCCCTTTGCGAGTGATGTTCGGTGAGGAAGTGCAGGCTGCATTTATGATGATACTTTTCTTCGTTTTCGAAACGAGAGGGAGGGGGAAGAAACTGGGGGATTGATTGAAGCCATCTGCCGGAGGGGTGATGGTCGGAAGAGAAGAAGAAACATCAAATATCGTGTGCTTTACATTTCTCGGCAACGCAACGCGTGCGTGGGTAACGCGATTGATTGCTGCGAGAGCATGCAGGATGATGACAAGGGAGGTGCTAAGCGGGGTGGGTGTGCCCAGGGTGGGTATGTATGAAACACGTAGTCCAGTAGTTGTTGTCCATTTAGAATGTCTCGTTGACCAATGAGTGGCGGTTAGGTCGGTGAAGGAAAAGAGTTGATCGCTATGCGCTGTATGGTCCTCGTTTTTCGACTGTGCAATCCATCACATGCGGTTGAAATTGCCATCTGCGCTATGCGTGCGTAGCAATCGTTCTAAGGTGTTTTTGATGCGAGTGTGTGGCGTGGTATCGAAGTGATGCTGCTGCTGCTGCTGCTGCTGCTTGGACTTGTTCGCTACGGTGCCAATACTTATGCAAGAGGTGAGGAGTAGAGGGGAGCGAATAGATAGAAGGAGTTAGGATAGATAGATAGAGCAGATAGCAGAAGTAGACCTCGTAGGGGGTTGTTCCCTTCTATACTAGGCTCTAGAGTACCTAGAGTGGGTATTACGTCTATGCAGGCAGAGTAGAATTCAGAATGTACCTAGGTAATCCTCCCTCTTCTCGTCTGCTCGTGTGGGGGCCGTTCTCCTTCTTACCCTCCCCTCGCACCCCACAGTTCGCTTCAGTCATGCCCACCACCACCGCCGTTGCATCGGTGCATCAGAATTTCTCACTCGAGGCAGCATCATCAGGGTCCTTTTCTTTTAACTACATCAAGCGATGAACTGCTCTGACAAATCACGTCGCCCAGCAGAACAAGTACAATGCCTGCACAGTACAGTCCGAAAACAAAACAAATCAAATCACAAAAGGAACGATCGCTCTAGGAAAGGAAGGAAGAGAAATAAAAGCAGAAAAAAAAGCAAACCCATCTAGTCCTGTCTGCCCATCAAGGTCCTATCCTATCCGGCCATCCAGTAGTTTTACATACCTGGAGTAGGTAGGCTTCCTTTCCACCACTACCAAATGTCGAAGTCCGCCGGTGGACCTCGTAGGTAGTGTAAAGTAAAAGCGATAGGATATGAAATGATACGATACGATCAATATTGCCAATATTGGCGGGCGCGCCCGGAATCTCCACCACACGCGCGCGCATCTTCAAACTGATTCGCTCCAAAAAATACCACAAATCGGAAATAGTATTGGCCTGATCATCTTTTCCTTCTATCCGGGGGGGCCAAACCAAACTAACTCTATATCAACATCCCTCCTATTGGCCGGCATTAAGAAGAGTAGATCTATAGGTAGGTTAGTACTCTAGGTACAGTAGAGGAGAGTAGTGCGCCGCCGCCGCCGAAAGAGAGCTACATGTATGTATGTAGCTAGTTAAGATGAGGGTTTCTTTCGGAGAAAAAAAAAATTGTGATTTGAAAGTGGGGTTGTTGGAAGCAGGCAGGTAGGCAGGTAGGCAGGCAGGCAGGCAGGCAGGGCCAGTAGATATCATCATCATCAGCATCATCAGCATCACCATCGTGGGACCCAGACTCGTACGGTTGAGTGGTTAGAGTATATATACACGAGCGAGATCTGGTGGAGTTACTCTAGTTGGAGTAGAGTAGAGCAGAGCAGAGTGCCTACTTACAGATTGATACGGGTACATGCGGGTTTCAAACGAGGGAGGGGAGGAGGAGGCGCCGGGCGTTTTTTTTTTTTGCTGCCTTGATTGCCTATCTTTTTTATTTATTTTTGTGCGGTCAGATACCTGGAGTAATAGTAGTAATAGTATGGGATGTGTATGTAGGAATGATATGCCTGCTTGCTTGCCTGCCCTGCTTGCCTGTCTGCTCGGATGCAAGAGTAAAGTAGACTCAGGATGTAGAGATCTTATCAAGGGTCCTGATACAATATGTAGGCAACAAATCGCGATCCACTCTAAAGTTTTTGGCAGCTTCCGGGACCCCTTGTAGTACGTAGTCTCCCTCTCTCTCTAGGCCTCCCGGAGGAGGAGCTACAAGAACTAGTAATAATGGGTCAGAAAGGTCCTCCCATTTCTTTACGTTTTGGGTATGTACAATTACGTAGAGAGGTCATTTGATTTCTCTTCCCTCCTCCCTCTTGAGCTCCTTCAGCGAATGAAAACATCACGAAGACTGGGGCCAAACTAGTTAGAAACCCTTAATGGGGGTTTTTCTCATGCAGGATCGGCGTGCAGGCGCTGTCTATCCCGGTTAGAGTATATCATCAACACCCTCCCCCCCTGGTTGCTTCTTCGGGTGAGTGCGCCTGATAGGGTCGCGAGAAGTTGATATTCGATAGAGTGTAAGGATTGGTACTGTACCTACTGTTCCATACATGTATGCTGTATCGTAACTAACGATCCTCCCCCCCCCCACCATGGACCCCCCCAACGGCCAACGCGCATAGAGTATGTACTTCATACCTTGGTGAGAGACACAGCACACCCCCGAATTAACCAACCATGCGCATACGTGTAAGTATGTGGCCGCCACCGCATGCAGGCTGTATGCCTACCTTCAGTCAGGGTCTTTCTTTTCTCCATCGTACTCACGAGGGGGAGGGGGGTGGGGGGTGGAGGAGAGGAAAAGAAGGCCTATCCTATCCTCCTCCGAAGTTTTGAGACGAGTCCCAGTCACATTAAACCGACCAACCATCCGCATCCAATCCATAACTGCACTGCACCACGCACTTCTTTTTCCCACTCTTGTCCTCTGTTCCTCCCCCCTCTTGCCTTGCCTGACTGTTTGCCCGCTCCTGCTTTGCTCCTGCTCCTGCTTCCGTTCATAACCTCTCCCCGCCACCTTACCTCCCTCCCGTTTCCCTTCGAAACAGACCCTTAAGTACATAACCACCTGCCCACCCCCCTTCCCTTTCGCCATGTCCACACCAACAGCTACTACTACTACCACCACCACCACACCTACAACCACATCAAGACCCTCCACAGCAGGCGCTATCATCAAAGACCTAGTCACCACCACCGCAACTGAGATCGTTGTTGTTCCCCCGCGCCCAAACTCGTCGTGTGCTTGTACCGTTCCAGAACTAGACGACCTTGAAGAAAGCGCTCCCCCGACGGCCCCTATGCTTGATACTGAATCATCGGCAAAGATCGTTGTTCCTAAGCCTCAGCCCGCCGGTGCCTCTACGCTCGATGTAAGTTTTTTTTCCCCTTTGTTTTGTATTCGCTGTTTATACACGGGATATCTGTTTTGGATTTTTTTTTTTGTGAGGCAAAATTCTAACGGTTTGCGTTGCGTGTGCAGCTCGTCCCTCGCCAGCCTTCACCAATGGTCCGTGCCGAAGAACAGGAGCTCAAGGATGCCTACCTTGCCGGCTGTAAGTCAAGTCACACCCCATCCCATCCCTCCAGCCTCCTTCCCAACCCCCTTGCGGGATATCAACGGGATATCAACGGGATCAGACCCCCCCATCCCTGCTATAAATATCCCAGTCTAAAAAAAAAAGAAAAAAGAAAGAAAAAATCATACTAACGTCCCATGCAGTCAAGCACGTTGAGGACTTCTTCGCGAAATTCATCGAGTCGCTAAACTTCTACAAGCGCAAGTCGGCCTCGCTCGAGACCGAGATCGCGGAGCTCAAGGCGGCCAAGGAGGAGCTCGAGGCGAAAGTAAAGGAGCTTGAGGAGCAGCGCGACGAGACAGACAAGCAGCGCGCCGAGCGTGAGAAGTTGAAGGAAGGAAAGGCGATCAACAAGATGCGCAAGCTGATATGGAGCGCCAGTGTTAGCCACAAGAGGAAGAGCTCGACGGAAGGCGTTGTCCCAGTGGTGGCGTCGGTCGAGGCTAAGTAGTTTTATTTAAACTTTCTTTTTCTAGTCTTCTTTCGCTTTTTCTTTCGTTTTTTGCTTTGAGGGTTTGGATGCGGGTTTGCGGGATGTGTGATTTGATGATACCATGATGATGCCCGTGCCCGTGCCCGTGTGTGCGTGTGGGGGTGGTCCTTCGTTGTTTATTTTTTTATATCTTACGTGTGCTTTATGAGCGTGTTCTTTAACGAGCGATTGTTGTTCTTTTTTTTTTTTTATATTAACGGATTTTCTTCTTTTTTACCGGCTGGTTGTCTTCTGTTTTGTTTCTGTGGTTCTATTACTACTATTAACTACTACTACTACCTACTCTACCTACTCTAACCTACTCACGATCAATGACTACCTACTACCTCAATCTCTCTCATATGTCCCTCCTCTCCCTCTTCGCTTCTCTGTTCCTATTACCTACCACTCGCTTTTTGCCCTCTCCTACCTCAGATCTCCTACCTCTCCTACAATACTACTCTACTACAATAGTTAGTTGCTAGTTAGTTAGTCTCTAGTCCCTCAAATCTAAAAATGCGTCAAGCCAAACCAAACCAAACCAAATAAATCCGTCTATTAAAAAAAAAAAAAAAAACCACAAAAATTAAATTTTTTCATCCCAACTTCTCTGTTTACCAGGGGCTGGTCCGAAGCAAGAGCAGGAGGTTGGGTTGTTGTTGTTGAGTGGGGACACTTCTTCTTCTTCAGCCATGTACCGCGCCTCTCCCGTGCGATTCGAGCCGAGCGTGACTTGTACAAGCGAGGCCTAATGCAGGGTAGCGTGCGTAGAGTACCACACCCGCATGTCTTGTCTTGCTTGACGTCACGTCGGGGTGGGGGGGGGGGGGGGGGGGGGCGATTGGGAATCGAGCTGAGCGTGAGCATGAGGGGAAGCTGGGGGGGAGCTCGGAGAGGGAGAGGGGGAGGTGTGCTTTGGTTGGTGGGGGTTTGGGAGGAAGGTGGGTTGGGGAGGTGAGGTGAGGTGAGGTGAGGTTGGGTTGGCTCGGGAAGCTAGTTAGCTAGCTGGAGCTACTCTAGTGGGTATGTAGCTCTTTTTGTTTCAGTTTTTGGTTCATGCGCAGTGGGAAACAGCAGCTACGGTGGAAGTGGAGTGGAAGAGATGGTGTAGAAGATGTAGTAATTATAGCTTTCCCCGACCCGACCCGACCTGACCTTGACCCCGATTCTGGCCTGATAGGCCTAAGCCGGCCGGCCATGGCACCCGCCTCCCCGGCTCGGCGGGCTGGCTCACGTGTATATGTGCGCCACACGTTGCCCGTGTGCAATGATTTTTTGGACCACAAAGTTGGTGTGAAAAAAAATAGAGAGAGAGAGAGAGAGAGAGATATGAAGATGGAGAGAAGGGGGAAGAGACGGGGAGAGAGAGAAAAGTGGAAGAGAGAGAGAGGAAAGGAAAGAGAGATTACGCCCGACGCTAACTAGCACAATTGCAACGTGACAAACATGGCTAAGAGATAGAGAGACAGTAGATAGTGGTGAATCAGACCGGACAGCACTAGCTAAGAGGTAAAGGAAAGACCGCGATGCGATTAAGACGGGGGAGATAACAGTAAGACCAGAACAAGAAGAAGACCATAAAAAGAAGACCAGAAGAAGAGTAGTAGTAGTAGTAGTAGTAGTAGTAGTAGTAGTAGTTAATAAGTGCAAAACACCACACACACAAAAGAAAAGAGAAAAGAGACAGGAAAGAAAGAAAGCAGAGACTAAAAGAGAAAAAAAAAAAGAGCCACCCTCTACCAACCCTCTATCTACTCTATATACCCACTTACCCACCGCACCACCGCACCACCTCCCTCCCTCCCTCCCACCAGCTAACAACACCCCCTCTTCTTCCTCCCCGTCCCATCCCTAAACACATCCCCCCACTGCGCCAGCGCGCTCCTCCCCTTCATACTCCCGCCGCTGCCACCCCCGGCACTCCCGCCCCTCCTCCTCCCCCCCGCATCCACCCACCCGCCGCCATCCCCATACTGAATGCCACTCATCGGATCATCCGGATCCACCTCCCCCAGCTCAATCCTCGTCACAATAATCCCCGCCAGGCGCTCAAACACCTCATCCACCCCCCCACCCGTCAAGGCACTCGTCTCCATCGCCACCGGCACGCCATTCAGATCCGCCCACCGCGCCGCCTCCCCCGCGCTCACCGCCCGCTCCGGCGGCGCCGCATCCACGTCCACCAGCTCCCCCGGCGGCGCCGACAGGTCGCTCTTGTTGCCCACCAGCAGCAGCGCGAGGTTCGGCGACGCGAGCGCACGCGCGTCCGTCAGGAAGGTCGGCAGCGACGCGAACGTCGGGTGGCTGGTGATGTCGTAGACGAGGAGGGCGCCGGCCGCGCCGCGGTAGTAGGAGCGCGTCACGGAGCGGAAGCGTTCTTGGCCGGCGGTGTCCCAGAGTTGCAGCTTGATGCGTTTGCGGCGGGGCCCCGTGCCGACTTTGATGATTTTGCTGGAGAACTCGACGCCGACGGTTTGGGAGGTGAGGACGCGCCCTGGGGGGAGGTTAGTAGGGGTTTTGAGAGAGCTGTGGGGGGCGCATTGTGGGGAGGGAGGGGGAGGGGGAGGGGGAGGGGGAGGGGGAGGGGGGGGGGAGGTACATTCACCGCGGACGAATCGGTGCAGGAGACATGATCTAATTGAGGTGAGGGTTCTGGTTAGCCATCATTCCCTATCATCCCATATCCCATATACCCAAACTCCACCATCCACCCCCCCCCCCCCCGCCCCACCACCCACTCAGCTCCAGCTCCAGCTCCGGGAAACAAACTGCACTTACTTCCCACACCCGCTCGGGCCCAACAACACAATCTTTGCCAGATAGTCATACATACTCCCCAGCTCCTGCCACGCCCACACCTCTATTAGCCCTCTCTCTCACCACCACCACCACCACCACCACCGGCAGGAGACAGAACAGAAACATACCTGGTCCTCCGGCGCCGACTTTGACGACGCCGACGAGGCGCCCGACGCTGCGCGTTGGCGCGGCATTGTGTCGATGTTTCTATCTGTGTGGAGAGGCTGTATGTGAAAGAGTGAGCGAGCGAGAGCGTGTGAGTGAGTGAGTGAGTGTATAGTGGGTGGGAGAAGTGGTGAGGTGTGAAGCGTGGGTGTGAGTGTGAGTGTGTGAGTGAGGGAGGGAGGGAGGGAGGGCAGCAGCAGAGATCTCGGCTGCCACGGTGCCGATGTGTTGGGTCGTGTGTGGCTGGTGGCTGGTGGGTGAGGTGGTGTGGCTGGGTGCGGTGGCAGCTGCGTCATGGGGTTGCACTCGGTGGGGGAGGGGATTGTTTGTGCGTGTTTCTGAGGAGGAGAGTGTTTCTGTGCGATAGCTAGGGCACAGTGATCATTGCCGGGCTACAAACTGCGGATTGCGACAAAGAGCTACAGACTCACTCCTATTAACCTCTACCCAACCACTCGGACAGACACATAGCACTAGCACTCACTGTGTAGCTCTTTCACCAGCCAGGAGCAAACGCACCAAAGCCAGCGCTTTGGGGTATGCAATACCGAGCTCCTTCCTCTATAGCTACCTACCTACCTAGCTACCACCTATAGCCAAGCTAGCTACGACACCACAACAGCGGCGGACCTTCTACGAACAGTCGTTAAATACCAGCTAGCTACGATGCCCTAGGGCCTACCCGCAGCCATTCCCAGCCAATAATAGCTATACAGTAGGCTGGTGCAGCTTCGCTCGCCACAGGCGCGCATCATCCATAGAAACACCCCAAAAGCTATGAAAAACGATAGCCTGTACTGGCCGGAGCCCGGGGTATATCGTTATCTATAACCTCTATAGTAGCTGATACTAGCTTGTAATTAGAACTAGCACTACATAACTAGCAGTACGTAGGGTTATAAACCATTCTATACATGCAGCTATATCAAATCAAACCCCGCCCGCTCTATAGCTATAGAATACCACGATATAGCTATAGTAGCGCTAGCTATAGCTATTACCACCATGTACCCCAGACCTTCACAGCTTGTTACATCTCCTACCCCCCTATCATCCCAATACCAAGTTCATCCAACGGCCCATAACCATGAAAGCGGCAGTCCTAGCTAGCCAAGCAGTGTGTTATCAACACCGTTAATTTGGCGCACCATGGATCCAATCCGCGGCACTACTAAAACGCCCAGGGTAACAGCTCTGCTCCACCATGCATAGAAAGGCCCACAACGTTAGTGGCCGTCTCACAAGGGTCCCCATACATAGAGTGCCGAGCCCGGGGTCAATGACAGGCCAACCGGCCAAGGGTTAGGTTTCACATCCACATTCACATCCACATCCACATCCACATTCACATTCACATTCACATTCACATTCACAACCAACACCAACCAGTGAAGCAAGCAAGCATGAAGCATGCAATGGGGGGAACAACCATGGTACAGTTACAATACAGGATCCAAACAGCCAAGAAACAACACACTATAATATAAGAAAAAAGCCCAACCGACGACCCACAACTCCCCAGCAATTGTTGAATAAAAAAAAAAAAACAGAAACAACCCTACTAACAAGCTTCCCCCCCTTTTTTTTAATATTTTTCTTTTTTTGCGACAAGCTTAATCCTGGGGCCCGTCAATCAAGATCTTGATCCCCTTCCCCTTCTTCTGCTCCTCAAACGCCTTCTCGGCATCCTCAAACTTAAACCTACTCGTGATGAGCTCCTTGACACTCACGGACCCCGCCGCCAGCAGGTCCACGGCAAGCTTGTAGTCGCCCGGCCCGTAGCGGAAGCTGCCCTTCATCGTGATCTCCTTACAGCACATGGCCATGATCGGGAACGAGATCTCGTCGGCGCCCATGCCCGCCTGGACATACGTCCCGCCCGTGCGGACCACATGGATCGCCGTATTGATCGACGGGGCCGCGCCCGACGCATCAATGGCGACATCCGCGCCATAGCCGAGGTCAAACTGCTTAATGATCTCCGCGGCATTGACCTTCGGATCGCGCGAATGCATCGCGTTGAACGTGCCAGTCGCAGCATACGTTTTCGCAAACTCCAACCGCGGCTGCACAATATCCACCATGATGACCTTTACCGCGCCGTGTGCCTTCGCGACGGCAGCGATCAGGAGCCCCACGGGGCCCGCGCCAAACACGACGACGGTGTTGCCCGGCTGGACCTCGGCCTGGCGGACGACGTGGACGCCGACGGCGAGGGGCTCGACGAGCGCGCCCTCGTCGTTCGAGACGTGCGGGGGGAGGCGCACGCAGAGGTCCTCGGGGAGGACGTAGTACTTTGCGAGCGTGCCGTCGTAGGGCGGGGTGGCGGCGAAGCGCATGGACGTGCAGAGGTTGTAGGTGCCGGCTTTGCAGAAGGGGCAGAGGCGGCAGGGGACGCCGGGCTCGAGGGCGACGCGGTCGCCGGCGGTGAGCGTTTTGCAGGCGGGGCCGGTGGAGACGACGGTGCCGGCGGATTCGTGGCCGAGGACCATGGGTGCGGTCAGGATGAAGTCGGCGATGCGGCCGTGTTCCCAGTAGTGGACCTGTTTGTTGGGGTTAGCACTGTGGATGGCAATTGTATATAGAGCGCCGTGATCTCTTGCGTAGATCTGAGCTTGGGAAGACGGGATTTCTCGAGGGGGACTTACATCAGACCCACAGATACCAGTGACATTGACACGGATGAGCACATCGGTGGGGTTCTTGAGCGTTGGGATCGGGCGGTCCTCGATGGTCACGTTCTTGACGGCGTTCAAGATGAACGAGGGGTTCTTTGCGGCCGAGAAGTGGTGTGTTAGCTGCGTGAGACGACGAGAGGCAGAGCATGGATAGCAGGTGCAAGAGGGGTTTACCTCGTGCTTGGCAGCCATTTGTATACGAGTTTTTTTTGACTTGTTTGGGGGAGGGATTGGCTGGAGGGTGAGTGGTTGGGTATCGGGATGGCTATGAGGGACTGAGGACGGACACAGGATGAGGTGCGTGCGAGAAGGGTGGATGGGGGGGGGGGGGGGGTGGAGATGGAGGTGGAGGTGGAGATGGAGATGGAGGTGGAGATGGAGGTGGAGGTGGAGGTGGAGGTGGAGGACTGAGGATGAGGGCTCAAACTTAAACCAAGAAGAGGAGGAGGACAAGAAGATGGAATGCCACGAATGGGAAACAATCTTCTTCCTCTTCTTCGGTAGATCACCGCCAACGCAAAGCGGGGGGAGCTCGAGCTACAGTATCAGCATCACCAATATCGGCTAATATCCATTGCAAATCCCACTACATACATGCATCCAGAGGTCATATGTACTCCCCCTACCCAGCTACAGCCGTGAGAGTGCCTATGTTCTATTGCAAAAGCAATCCACCTCTCTCTGTCTGCCTCTCTCTCTCTTCAGACGATACATGTATGTTTGGTGGGGTGAAGATAGCGTTATCACTTTAGCCTGAATGCCGACACACCCCTAACCCTGGCTAATGAACCGTCATCCCGCTCGCTCTCCAAATCAAAATTAGTCCATGAGCTTAGCAGAAGCGGGAAGGGGGGAGAAGAGCTCTCGCACGCGGCCATTGAGCCTAAACTCTGAAGCTCTAGAAGGGCCGTAAGCTCGGATTGTAGCAATCAATCAATTGACATCAGATGACCCCCCCGGGGCCCCAGGGAGCTTTCTGAAGCATCGTGAAAAACTCTTCTGCATACACGCAGCAACCAACTAAGCCGACGTTCATCCCCCCCCTCAGGATGAACTCGGGTAATGGATATTCTGGGAGAGCCGGACGTCGGGCACTCACGTTAGGCTCAATTCCAAGGCTCTAGCTAGCTCTCTCTCGGGAGCGCATGTAGTATTTAATTTTGGGTGCGCTGCCTGTGCCGGAAGGTTCTGCTGCTCTTCAGTTTCCCGGAATGGTTGTTGGATTCTGCTGCCTGTACGTGGGGATGTGTGGGTATGTGGGTATGTGGGTATGTGGGTATGGGGGTATGTGGGTATGGGGGTATGTGGGTATGGGGCTGGGACTGCAACCGCGAGCGAGTGATGTCTAATGTCTGGCTGGGTGTTGCGCGCACGGATTGGAGAAGGGTGTGGGGTGTGGGGATAACATCAACACAGTGATTATCGCCCAGTGTGATGTGTTTCAAACCCGACACCGCGGTACTGCGACACACACACATTACTACATGTATCTATCTATCTATCTATCTACTCAGTGCCAATGATAGCTATCTAGAACTGCTTCTCTGCTGTTGCCCGTCCACAGAACATCACTCTCGCCCGCCACTGATTGGCCGGCGCGCGTAACCGAAGCGCTCGCGTGCCCCGGCCACAGCACAGACGGCTGCCAGTCAGTCACAATGGCACCAGTGGCAGCTCTCCGCCATCATCATCACCATCACCATCACCACAACCACAACCACCACCACCACCACCACCACCAACCATCACAAACCTATATACCAGCAGCATGTCGCTCTTCTCACTCCTCAACCCAGCAAACATCATCCCCCGCTTCCCGCCGTATCCCGGCCCCTACGCCGTCGGCTCCTTCGAGGTCGAGATCCCCGTGGCGTCGCTGGGCGCCATGACCGGCGTCGCCGAGACCGTCCAGTTCCGCGTCTTCTACCCGACCGAGAAGCCGGCCGAGAGGCCCATATCGGCGCAGCCGGCGAGCAGCTGGTGGGGCAGCAAGTGCGATAAGAAGACCGCCACCGCCGCTGTGGACCCAGCAGCGCAGGAGGAGAAACTCTCAGAGCCGGTGAACCCAGCGACGGGCGGTGCGAAGCCGGTGAGATGGCTGCCGGAGCCGCATCAGAGGGAGTATCTCAGCGCCTATGCACGCTTCCTCGGCGCCAGCTCCGGCTTTGCAGAGATTGTGTCGTGAGTGATTCTGGAAAACAGCCAGCATATAAATGTCTAGTAGCTAAGTGGGTGAGCGATTAACTGGATAGATACGGCGGCCGACTGCTGCACTACATCACCCTCCCCGTGATCGCCGATGCCCCGCTGCTCGCAAAACCACTGGACCACCGCTTCCCAACCATGCTCTTCTCCCACGGCCTCGGCGGCACGCGCCTAGCCTACTCCCACATCTGCGGGTCACTGGCCTCGTACGGCATCGTGGTCGTCGCGCCCGAACACCGCGACGGCAGCGCCCCCGTCAGCTTCGTCAAGTCGCCCGGCGCACCCGAAGCCGAGCTCTCCGGCAGCAAGCCCGAGAGCGGCGAGCCGGGGATCAACGACACCGCCAACACCCCGCCGAAGGATGCGAATGGCAGGTCCCAGGTGGACTACATCACGCACCCCCACCACCCCTCGGAAGAGACCGCGAGCGGGCGCAACGCCCAGCTCGAGATCCGCATGCGCGAGGTCAGCCTGATCTACACGGCGCTGTGCAAGCTCGACCGCGGCATCCTGCCGGCACACTGCAGCATCTCCACCGCCGGCGACGCCGGGAGGGACCTCCTCGGAACGTTTAAAGACCGCCTCGACATCCGCACGCCCGGCCGCCTCATCTGGGCCGGCCACTCGTTCGGCGCATCGACAATGTTCCAGCTCATCAAGACCGTCGCCACCCCGCCCTCCACAAACCCCGACTTTGCCCCCCTCTTCACACCGCCGCCCGCCGACGACGACGTCCTCCCGCTGAAGGCCCAGATCACGCCCGACTCGCCCCTCATGCTCTTGGACCTCTGGTGTCTGCCGCTGCTCGGAAAACGCACCAGCGCCCTCTTCAAGCACCCGCTCCCGCAGATCGCAGCGGATAAGGGCCGCAACGTCCTCGTCGTCATGTCCGAGGAGTTCTGGAAATGGAAAGAGAACCTCAATGGCGTGCGGCGCGTGCTCTCGCATGATCCGGGCCGCAGGCGCGGGACAGAGCACCATAAGTGGTTCGAGCAGTGGGACGAGCACCTCGCGTCGTTGGAGTCGGCGTCGCTGGAGGTCGGCGGCCAGATTGTGGCGCCGCAGGGCGTGACGCCGACGCCGACGAGGCCGGCGAGTGTGGCCGGGAGGGAGCAGCCGAGGTTCTTTTACGCGCTGAGGAGCGCGCATTTGTCGCAGAGTGATTTTGGCGTGCTGTTTCCGAGGGCGATTAGGAAGGCGGAGGGGCCGGAGAGGATATTGGAGCTGAATGTGAGGGCCGCGGTGCAGTGGTTGAGGGATGCGGGGTATGCGGGGGTGTTGGGCGGGTATGAAGAGGAGATGGGTACGGATGAAGCGATTTTTGAGGGTGAGGTGGAGGGGTGGGCGAGGATTGGGTTGGAGGAGGTGGAGGCGGCAGTGGACGGGGTGCAGGAGGGGGTGGTGGAGGGGAAGGACTAGAAGGAGAAGGGGGTGTTGTAGAACCGGTACGGCCGAGTGAGAGGGTGTGAAGGAAGCGTGATGGGCGTTTTTGGTTATTTTTGGATAGTAGAGCGGTATACCACTGCATACAGATGCTCTTATAAACGTGTAGCTATGCAGCATTTATAAATTAAATTATATTTTCATAGATGGTTGTCATTTTTGTCATTGGTGCCGACGTTGTGCTTGTTGTCATGGTCGTTGTCGTTGTCGTTGTCGTTGTCGTTGTCGTTGTCGTTGTCGTTGTTGTAGCTTTGGTTGTGTGTGGTCGCCAAGACATGCAGTATTATCATTACCCCTTATCGTTCCAGCACAGCGCACGCAACCAACACCTACCGCCAGTAGAACCGTGAAATAAAGAAGCCTTGAAGATGGGACGAAGCGATCCCGGCAGTGATATTATGGGTATTTAGGTAGGTATCTCTGGGTGCTGCATCTGCGTGTGGATTTGACTTGGCATTTCATTCATAGGTTCGATAGAATTAACTGGTTGCTGGAAGGTTAGAGTTCTGTGTAAAGCTTATGGCCAAGGGTATCGACTTACTTCAACTGCTCCGGGAACAATTTTACATCGCAAAACACTCTCCCAGCGCCCTCCACATTAATGTACCGTATATAAGCAAAGCCTCTTTCACTGTTTCCAGTATAGAGCTCACTCATTGGCCGGGAGGAGAGAGACGGAGACTTTCCGTTTCCTCTCACGTCTATCTTCCCCTTCTTCTGTGCCCCTTTTAGGCGACTGGCGGTACTATTTCTCGTGGTAGCCTTCAAATGTAAAGTGATCCATGGTACAAGTCAATATGGAAACGGCTCTTTGATCTAAGACACACCGAGTGAGAATTCGTGATGCAGATTCGTGTGAAAGTCATACATATCAGGTGTGAGAAGGGAGTTATGGACGGTGATCTAGGGAGGGTTTTGGGATATTTGGAGGCCTGATGCATACGTGTAAGCCTGAAGCAAAAGGGTAAAAGTTTGAGGTTGGTCATCAACCCTGACGCTTACTGTATTGTTCGGGTGGTGTGTGGCGCCCTGATATCATGGGTCACAGACAGAACCAAAGAGAGCGGGGTGGTGGTTATGTTAGAAGTCTAAGAGTCTAGCCAAGCGGTTATATCCTAGATCTGGATCATGACACCGTAATCTAGGTCTCTATAGCAATGTGTCACATACATGTAGTTAGGTACATATTGTGTTCGCTTGGCACCTACGTGACAAACTGTTCTCATCGTAGTTTTTGGCCGCTAACCTCTCAGTGGTTTGTATGAGATGCGCAGCGGTATTACAATCACGCAGAGCTATGAACTTCACGTATTAGATGTATATAGAGGCAGGAAAGAGATAGATATGGCTTAACTGACCCTGTGGATTCGGCTGTAGCTATAGAAGAGATACATGGTAAATCATTGACATTGGTGCTGTTAGCATATTACATCACAGGTTCCACCACCTCCAAAGATTATCATGCTAGTACAGAATGCATTCTCACTAGTTCCTTACAGGCCAGAAAGCAGAAGGCGGCTTAAGGTTGGCCTTGCGTATAAGAGGGGGCTCGGCAGTGAAGGCAAACGTGTACATACTGTAGACTAGATCAGAGAGACCACTCCCCCTTCGAATTCTCCACCTCCACCACCAACACCCATCATCACCTCTTCATTCAAGTTGTCATTCAAGTTTTCAATCCATCCGTTCATTAATACAGTGTCTAATTCCCGCTTAATCTTCTTTTTCTTCCTGTCTGAGGCCCCATGATCCTATTGGCTTTGGGGGGATCCTGGGCGAAGGTTCGCTGGACACGTACACACAACGCCGTTAACCGGGTGAACAATAAACAACAAACAACAAAGCACTCATGACCGAGAAGCCACCGGTATGCCGGCATATCTATCAGACCACTTTATTTGATTCGAGTATAGGAAACTTCCTCGAGATGCATTTGCGTGTATGTGCACTACTCTGCCCTACCTTATCTCAAGATATCTAATGTCTGCTTGCGTTGCGGATTTGTTTTTACAGTCGGGAGTTCAAACTCATGAATCAAAGCCACCTCACCGCTTGCTATTATTTTATCATGGACTACATGTATGCTCACTCGAAGCGAGGCAAGAAAGCTCCTGGGGCCGACGTGTTCGGTGTGTGAACCGATCCTTATGAGTATCACCCACAGGTTCCTGCACGGATAATAAAACATTGACTATGACAACCAACTACTCAAACCGCCCGGTAGAGGATGAAGCAGGTTTGCCTGAAACACCTTGAGTATGGTTCTGACCGCTTCGTTCGGCGAGCGTAAGCCGGACCGCATTGTGTCTGCATAGGCATCCGATCGATGAGGTCGGCGAGCATGTACCTACGTAGGTACAAAGCTTGTGGCGGCCGACCACTAGCTCGCACCCCACATCCGATGAATAAATTGCGATACGTCAAATCCCCCTTGCCTTTATGCAGGGTGGGTAGCCACATAGGCATGCGGGGAAGTTCTTGTATCAACCGCATATGTACCTACAGGACTGTCGAAGGGGCCGGTCATACCGGACCGGGCAGCTATCGATAAAGAACGTGCAACCCCGCAGTCGGTTTAGTTAATTTCGACCCCACCATCAACTAGCTATGCACCCCGCACGTGAGGTTTCTTTTCTTTTTCTTTGCAACGTCGGCGCGCATTGCATCCCTACCCTAACTGGGCTTGATTAGAATAAATATTCCGATCGGTCAGGTACGGATAGCTGGAGCGATGATTGTAATAGTTATCTGGAGCTGTGAGGGGTATCGCAATTTCCAGGGCAAAGATCATCGGTATATCTGCATAGATTTCTCGGCAGCGCCTCGCCCGAAACCCCTCCTCCGCGGGCCGATGGAAAAAGAGTTGGCAGTGATAACCTGATGTGTTTCCATGTCACGTCGTGGGATAGTTAATTTGCGGCGGGATGGAAGGTAAACCGGATCGCTATACTTTACGCAAGACAACTGGGATTGTGAAGTTGAGACATATCCCGGGACGGATTACATGTGGGGTTGAACGGACAATGTTTCGTGTGTTAAGCATGTTACAACTTACTGTACATCGAAAGGGCATAGCCCCCATTAATGGAATACCGCTAAATCTCGAGTTATTCGGGGGGTTGCCAAGGCAAAAACCTGGGGATCTTCACCTTCAGAAGAAGAAAACAGCGTAGTTTAGCAGGTGGCCTTGGCAACCCACCGAATAACTCGATTTTGCGGTACAGTACGCCTGCCACCGGACACCTTGTGCACAGGTCAGAAAGGGTTAAGACGTGCGGCGATGATGACCGATCGAGTGACACGCTATGATCGACCGAAAGTCATCCTTTCTGATTCAGCATACACCTATATTTGCGTTAATAAAGTGTGTCGGATCAATCTTTCCGGGTTATGCGTGTTGATAAGCAAAGGTTCATAACCTATCACTCGATCAACATCAGCCCGTTCTGATATATACGCAAGTAGCCGCACAAGTAGTAATCAACTATCGATAGTCGGCCCTCGGCGCTTACAACAAACAGTAAGTAATCATAGCCGTGCACGAGATTAACGGCTATCTAGGATTCTTTCCCAGGGTTTACTTGTAAATTAAAGCCACAAGGATAGCGTTGTTTTACTTCCTTAATAACAAACATCTTCCCCTACACTGTCGGGCGTTCTCGGGGGACTAATCAGTCATTGTTTTGATGGGGGGAAACGCCTGTTCCCCTGGATAACTAACTAGCTACATACAAATACATGGAATAAAAAAAATCCAAACACCGGAGCCCAGTCTCCATACAGAAAAAGAACCGTTTCATTCCCTATGTTCCTGCCGTCCAATCATGATCCCAAAAACCAGACGAACGCTGTGCAAATGAAGAAAAAAGAAGAAGAAAGAAAAAAAAGAAGGTAAAGGAGTGGAAGACAGCTAGAATAGACTAACCAGTTACATAACCGTACAGAGCTTACTCGATGTGTACCAACTGTCTTCATTCAGGTATACAGAGAACCAAAAAAGAACAAAAACCAAAAAAAGTCGTGAATAATAATACAAAAAAAAAAAAAAAAAAAACCACTGAAGATCAGTAGTTTTCTTCAAGTCCTTTGTCTAATATACCTCGGTCCGTGATGACAACGATGTGTTTTTGCACAGACTTCTGTTTCGGATATGGTGCGTCGAAGATCTCGTTGATCTCTTCTAGCGTCCGGCCCTTGGTTTCAACAAAGCTACACAAGGAATTAGTAAGATAGTCAAGGGGGATAGATGAATAGGGAGAGGTTGAACTTACAAGAAGTATATGAAAACCACCTCAAAGACGTCCCAGGCGATGTACACAAAGTAGAACTTCCACTTAATCTTATCCCACACCGTCGGGATAGCATAAGTGTTGAAGAAAGCAGCAATATTCACAAACAAGTTATAAAGTCCCATCCCCTTTGCTCGGGTCTCGTACGATAGGCACTCGACCGGATACAAGGCCTGTAGAGGTGTGTATGCAAACGAATACGTGATGCCAAAAATATAAATAAACGCAATTGTCGAGCGAGAACCATACTGGTTCTTGTTGGTCTCCTCACCATAGAGCGCAGTGAGCGTCGTGATGATGGTCCACCAGAGCACAAACAAGGAGGTTCCTATAAGCAGCACGTTCCTGCGACCTAGGCGGTCCACAAAGCGGGCACCGATAGTTGCCATGACGAACGAGATGACGTTCAGGATGGCGTTGTAGAGGAGTTGTGACCTCTCATCGCTGACGCCAATCTGGTCGAGTAGAACAGGCATGAAGTAGGATACGGCGCCGTTGCCGGACCACTGTGAGAAGAAGGCCATGCCGATGACACATGAGAGTCTCCACCATGCAGGACGGGTCTTGACGAGGTCGCTGTAGTCCCACCAACGCTTGTCGGAACCTTCGGTGGCGATCTCTTCGATCATTTCCCGGTAGGTGAGGAGCACGATGGGGGAGTTGCGGTCACCTTCACCGTGGTACTTAGCCATTACACGGATTGCCTCTTCATGGCGGTCGTTGGATACGAGCTACATAATTTTTGTTAGAATGTTTGTCTACTGATATGAAATGATTAAACTTACCCAACGTGGTGTTTCGGGGCAAAACAGACACCCGCACAACACCAAACCCGAAGCAATTGCCTGGAACCATACTGGCAGACGCCACGAAAGGTCCGACTCAATTTGCTGAGTTCCATATAAAGTCCAAGTAGCGGGGATCTGGAGGTTTCATTAGCACGAGATCAAAGGTTTTAGGGTAGATATTTCTCTACTCACCCCACCAACAAACCAAAAAGAATTGTAGAGTCCCGTCAGAGTCCCACGCCAGGCAGGGTGAGCCATCTCTGCCACATAAGATGGCCCAGCAGTAGCACAAGTGGCTACGCCGAACCCAAGTATGAAGCGTCCACCCATAAACATAGCCCTACTTGTTGCAGGCGCTTGAACACAGGTACCCGCAATGATGATGGCTCCGCCAATAAACATACCCCATCTTCTACCCCACCAATCTGTAAATGGCCCACAGAAGAAGGAGCCAACGATGTTCCCTATTGTGTATACTGAGAATACAAGCCCAGTATTGGAACCTGTCTTTCCAATATTGAAATAACTAAGAAGATGTTAGCATGTGGACTAAATTCTCGGGGACTTCCGAACCAATAGAAGAAGCTATTACTTACTTTTGGTATGTTGTCATAGCATTGATACCTCCCATCAGGGATCCATCATAACCGTTGATACACGAATTCAAACACGCCACAAACAAGAAGAAATAAAGCTTAAACATCGTCTTGGTCCATGGACTCGGCTTCTGTGCGATCAAAGCGTCTGAAAACCCCACATGTGCTACAGTCGTGATATGCTGCTGTTCAATCTGGGTTGGTGCGCCAGATGAGAACGATTCGTGGCCATAGGTGTTGGTCCTGTGATGTGCGCTCTCTAGATAGCTTTCCATCTCCTTTGCCGGTGAGGGCCCTACTCCTCCGCCTATTTCCATGTCGTAGTAACCTCGTCCATGCGACATTTTGAATATTGGTTATTGCCGGCTTTGGTTGTTGCTGTTGCCAGTAAAACAGCTAACTTTGAGTAGTTGTATGCAGTGGGTAGTTGATGTTTCCTTCTTTTTCTAGGCCTTTGCTTGAAATCTGTACTTATTAATCCCCCTGCCTAACAATAGTGTCCAATATCCACTTAAAGTTTATGTATCATGTACATGCGACGTACAAGGTCGAAACGTGGACTGCAAGGGAAGCCGAATGGAAGTTCACAAGAAAAGATGGCCCGCCAAAGAATGGATTGATCTGATTTATCCAGCGCAAGCGGAGGTAGAGACAGGGCCTGGGAACATCAAGTTCTTTATAATTATCGGGCTATCGTTTTTTTTGTGCAACATACAACGCCCCCAACTTTTTGACACCACTCACGAAAGGCACAGCTACACCTGACATCTCGTTCAGCTGGCAAGGATTTGGAAAAAAAAAAATTGGGGAAAGGGGAGGCAAAAAGTCGGGCCGGGGCGATTTATGGGGGATACACAATTAAGCTAGGGAAAAATGAAAATGCAGCACCGCTTAGCGAAATCCTTACCTCCTTCTCCCCAGGTTAGCAGGGTAGACAAGATTTTTGGCATGACAAAAGAGCACATGGGCTCCAAGGATTGAGTGCTGTAAACGATTGCCGGATTCTTCTGGACTCTCTCCATATTAATATATGACCTTTTCCGAAAATTTCTGTAATTCTTGCGCAAGAGTAGATCCACATGAGTTACGCCTACGTATGTACTATAGATTTATTGATGCATCACATCCGATGATCATTAAACACCAAAACTCTAAACCCAAATTGATTGTTCATACCTTAGGAGAATATCGAGGAAGGGGGAAGGAGGCAACTGTGTAGTTGATTCCGATAACCAATTCCACGTCCCCTTATTCGGAAAATAGTCTCAGCTTCTGACAGCTGGATGGATATACAGCCGTATTGTATCGTATTCCAAACTACACTACGAATTAGCCAAGGGATCAAAGATTCTGTGCCGCTATCACTTATTGCCTCACTAACTTACCTTTAATCCGCTATGATTTTCAAAAGCAGTGTCTTACGGGAGGTCCGAGAGAGAATCCTAAGCGACAGGTCTTTCGAGATCCAGGTTCACTCCGTTAACAATATAGCTGCAAGCTTCGACGCTTTAGATGCAGCTCACCACTTTCGGATATGGAGCCGTTCTGTCCAGGGATGGGATCCACTCACTGGACTCACCCCCCTTGTTTTCAGATTGTAGAATGCGGGGTAGCACGAATAACTAGTAAATGAGGGATGTCTCTCCTGTAGAGTAGCCGTATGCACGTTATCACCTTTCCCAACTGAGAGAGCCGTTAGGAGGATTTTCGTGGGAAAGGGAACGTTCAGAATCCGGAGTACATACACTAGATCTATAGAACTTAGCATTGTGCAACAGCTATGATTTCTTCTAAGATTTGCCCTACCTAAGCGTTTCCCCCTATCCTATCTTCTGTTATTATTTTATTGTACAGCCAGTTAGGAAGCATTCTGAAATTAGGAGAGTGACTCGATAGATTAATAGCGCTACCAAGCTTGGCTATTTCAGGTTAACTATTTCTCTCAGCCACCTGGGTACAGACGCGCGATCAGGACTAGCCTTGATAGTTGAAACACCATCCGTATCAGTCGCAAACAGGTTTGTGGTAAGCCTGTATAACTAGTAGGTGCTCTAGAGTGTTATCACTCTATTTTTTTCCTTGATTAATTTTTTCGGATCCGGGGATTCAGTCATTTTCCGCTTTGTAAAGTATCATACGTCTAGCTAGATGTACATACGTAGAGACATATGTGGTTACTTCTCGTGATGTCTGAGAACAAAATATAAGACATATCATGTCAATGGCGCCTGCATCTAGAATAAAAACAAAAAAAGCAAAAGGAATGAGGTTCCGACAACCGTGAAGCTCTCTCGGGGTGCAGGGATAATAATTGCGAGATGACCGACTTCTTACGGGAAACATCCGAGAGGTAAAATATTACTCCTCCCCACAGATTTGCAACAAAGATTTTACCTAGGTACATACCCAGAGTAGGTACAGTCGGTACATGAATTGGCGAGAGCTCTTGGGCCATGTAGAGTACCAAGTACCGGTGGATTCCCCTTGAGCCTCTTTTGGCACAGTGGGAGCTGCTGGTGATCCTTGCACTTGCGTGTAATGCGGCTGTAAGTGTTCCGGTTGGGACAATATCTATCAATACGCAACCGGGGATCCCTGAGATAGTAAGGCAATTATTAATATGTAGATATATCCATACTCACTCTCGACAAGTAAAGCTTCCTTATAATTAGTGGAGTATTTGAGTCCCTGTAATTCGTAACCTGTGGCGTGTTGTGGCTTCTGTAGTAGAAATATATATGGCCGAATTTTGACCGAATTATGATAACAACATAAGTAGGCAATGTATTCTAATCAAGAAACGCCACTAATGGAGTTAGTAATTATCTGCAAATCAAGCTATTAGTGTACATCACTAACGTGCAACATGATTTGAGGACCTTAGACATTATGGATTAAGACCATCCTTCATGGGACGCAGGTACGTAGACCCCCCCCATGCCATGTGCTTCTAAGTGATTGAGATCTTAAGAGTATCTCGCCCAATCTACTGAATTTTACCAAGCAATGTGAAAGAAGCGCTTTCATTGCATATGAATATATATCCCAACGAAAAAGAAAAAAATGCGGAGTGTCGAAGAGCCTGCATATGCATAAAGATTGGCTTCGTCTTGTTATTCCACAAATATATTCTAGCACTCCATGATTCGACCCAAGGTAGAGTGGTTAAATCTATATCCTTCTTGATTGCTGTATACGTAGCCTGCAATTTTTCACTGGCTTGGAGCGGACACCTTCTTGTGGTTAATTAGCAAAGCATTGATATCAGAAACTACATGTATCTAGGTTATTGAGCAAAGAGTTCTTAACGATCTCTTCGCTAAATTGATATGTAACCTTTTAATGTGTCATTTCAAGCAATAGCATGGAAATAAAATTTAATCCTTTGATGTATCTAAGAGCATTTGGCTCATCCACCTACCTAGATCCTCAATTTTAGCCAAAGATATATGTTTAATGCTGGACACACTCAAGAAGAGCTAATTGAAGCCGCAATATGATAGAAGGTATACTTGGAAACTTGGTATCAATAGCAACATTGTGGAGGAGAATACTTGTAAATATCACCGGCCTATACTAGTAAATCTTCACAAAAAGGGACCATTGTATTCCCATGATAGTTTTCCGTGTGTGGTGATGCTGAAAATGTTTCCCTGTACCCAAAATAGTTCCCCCAAGTGTTTCATAACTATATATCATCGTTGGCAGTATCTATAAAACAACCTGTACTTTATAGTCGCCATACTTGTATCGATTTCAAATCCTTTAAAAGCGACAATTCGGAAATGTGAATCTGGAACCGTAGTGTTCGAGGTATATTACGTTCTAGGGGCGATGAGCTGACCTATGACAAGATATTTAATATCAAGCAAGGCAATCCGGTATTTCAATGCTAGTGAAACAAAAGGAAAAGAGATTCTTGTGTAAAAAAGGAGTGCATAAATATGGCATAGCGGGTGTGTCGCCTTGTAACACAAGTGCACATACTCGTGGCTATGAAGCTTGGGTATAGTAAATATACAGGCTGCGCTGGGGTTTATAATTCATGCATATATGCTGCTACATAATGTATGTAGCAGGTATAGCATATACTAATGGATATCTAGGCTAGGCCATGGGTCTAACCATCAGAATATCATTCAACAAGCTAATCATACGCGGCTGTATCGAAGACTTTGGCCCACTCCTGGTATCTGATTGCAGACTGCAAATATGAGGCGTGTTTTGACATCCCTATATCCCATAGTAAATTTTTGCAACTAGACGCTTTAGGGTGTCGTCCAAAAACCGTACGTCCATTTATGCGTATGTGTAGCCATTGACTTGGCTGCCCCAAATGCTTTGACCCGTCAAAAGGGTTGTTGATATTGAGCTGACATGACGCCGCATAGTTTTCGATTCTACCCTTCATAGATAGGGTCTCAAAAGGGGTTCATAGTAGGCATGTCTCTTCTCAATGTGCCGAGAGTACATTGCATATAGAACCTTCTTACATGTTCTGGCCCCGCTAGGCGTACTGAACTTTCCATGCTTGGGTGCTGTGGAAGTACAGGCTATTAATATCAGCACGCTTCTTTCTCACCACGCGATACGCATGCTAGATATTAATCTCTACTGAAAGGTTCGAAGTTAAGATGTGCACTATCCAGTACTTTCTTCCTGTCCCGAGTCATCTGTCACTATGACCATTGATGGACTAGAATTATATATTAGTCAATACATATAAATCATCTCTGTTGCCGTCATCTAACGAAAAGGAAGAGCCAACCTCTACAATCACTCATATCATTCAATGGTTCAAGCTCATCCAATAGGTGCAGATCACTGTCTGCCAAACTGCATCTGTGCATTGTACTGTGAAATGAGGGTTTATTCAGGTTAAATCCGAGCCAGGTAACTGTGCCTCCGGCGGCGAGACATTGAAGTTGTACTGGAGACGCACCGACCCTTCTGCTGGGTCAGTACTGTAGCATACAAAACTATGGGTCCCCGGACGGGAAGGAGCGGTTAGAAGGTTAGTAAGTGATCTGAGCATCCAATCTCGGTTCTTCAATACATACGTATGTTGCATGAGAAATGAGACAAAATATTAGCCCCTCCAACCAAAGTTACGGGAACGAGATGGAGATACAACTGGACCCCGCAGATGTAAGTAATGTCACAGTAAGACCCGAAATTGGGGGGCTTACACATACATTTTGGTAGGCAGCTACCCACGTGATTTCACGCGCTAAAGTTAGTTTAGATGGCCCTAGCTTGCAAAATGGTCTTTAAGAACTGTGATGTGGCTTGTTTGACTATGACGAAACTTAGTGCTGTCATGAGAGCTCTATTTGGCCTCATGCGTTTGTTATTCGATCAATGATTTGATACCTTTATCAAGTTCTCAAGATATGTAGTTGTGCGGCGCAACTACAAGCCTTTAGTGGACCCTAATCACCGGCCAATTGCAATGTCAGATCCTCAAAGGGTCTGAATTTTCCATGAATGCTTGTATTGTGCAAATAAGCTCACAAAATGAGGCCTGTAAGCTTATTTTAACTATTTGTACTGGATATTGCTAACTCGATAGAACACTTGAGGCTCAATGGATAAAGCTTAAGCTTGGCAGTATTGAAATGGCGCTTCCAAAGGCTCGGAATGCCCGAGATCCTGAGCTACTGTTCGCACCTTACATCGTAAATCATACTTTCGAAGAATAGAAGTTTAAAATCGGTCACCCCCGGTCGTGATGAGGGCCCGCCAGCCTACGCAGCCTTGCTTTCAATTATATCCAAGGATAAAACCTTATTATTCAGATGCTCCCTCAAGCAGAAAAGCTAACGCCGACCTCCCGATGTCACCTATTGAGGGGAGACACTAAATAACCAGGACGGCCCGTGGATCCGTTGATTAAGAGCCCTCTTACCACGTACGTGCCGCACGCGAGCGATCGGAATATTGGGAATGGCGCGATTGAAATATATATCCTTATTAATGGCCGGGAGATCCTTTTTGGCGAGTCTTCCAATTCTAAAGGAAGATAGGCAGAAAGACGAGCTTTAATGGGATTAAACTTGAATATGAATATAATGGGAAGTCAAGCTGATCACTAGCTCGGGGGTTGATAGAAAGTTTGATAACATTTTATCTATCGCCCCGCATTGCCCCTCACACGATAGTCCGGGCCTACAATGCCGAATCGCACTGAGGCACTTTTGGACTGAAGAGAAAAAAAACAGGGAAAAGGGATTCTAATAGAAGCAGGAACAATTTTCGATATTAACCCAAGAACTACCACGGGGACTGTCGGCCTTAACTCCCTCTAGACAAGCAGATCTAGAGCACAGTATTTACCATTTCACCCTTTGGGTGTTTGTGGAATCCTGGGGTCTGTCTACGTACCGAATTCCCCGACGGCCTTTCCCTGGGCTAAGAAGGTATGCATTGCATAACTAGCAGACAAGCATTCGTCTGATACTCTACAGCAACGACCAAAACGGGTAGAGTCTCCCACCAAACTGGGAAAGAATGGAAACAAAGAAGCAAACCAAAAATTGGCTTGGGATATATCACATTTCCCCACCTTATTTACCCATGGCAGCAGAGCACCGATAGACCGCGTACTGCCTCTTCTCGTGAAGAGCCAGCCAACAGGCGGGATCACCGTCATTCCGTATACGCACTAAAGCTTAGACAATAATAGAAGCTATGCTCTACGTACGATATTCACTGAGTGCTTTCCGTGTATCTTTGGCTTTAAGCTCCAAGAGCTAGTTTGCTACTTAAGTGTTCTCACACCCGCTTCTCATAGCTATAGAACTATCCTGTAGCCCTCATCGATATCTCCCATATATCCACGCTGTTTCAATATTCTTGTATCCTCAATACTTTGGTTTAGACAGACATCATGACCGACCTTTCACTCCCGAAGGACTTCTTCTGGGGATTTGCTACTGCAAGGTATGATATGATACATTCCCCCATGGTAGAGTTCTGTTTCATTCAGTAACTCTACCTCCGATGTTTACCCTCATAACTACTCACTCGAGCACGTTTGATTTGTTTCGTTTCTTTGAAACGCGTCTAATACCGTAAATCAGTTACCAAATTGAGGGAGCTGCCAAAGAAGATGGCCGTGGCCCCTCTATATGGGATACCTTCTCACACATCCCTGGAAAGACAGCCGACGGCGGCACCGGCGATGTCGCTTGCGACGCCTACCATCGCACCGACGAAGATGTTGCACTACTCAAATCCTCTGGCGCCAATGCCTACCGTTTCTCTATCTCCTGGTCGCGTGTGATTCCTCTTGGGGGCCGCGATGATCCAGTCAACGAAGCGGGTATTGCATTCTATAAGAACTATGTAGACAAGCTGCTTGAAGCGGGCATCACCCCCTTCGTGACACTGTTCCATTGGGATCTCCCACAGGCGCTGCATGACCGCTATCTGGGCATGCTAGATAAGGTGGAGTTTGCAAAGGATTTTGAGAGATACGCAAGGCTCATGTTTGAGCGCCTGCCGAAAGTGAAGCATTGGATCACACTCAATGAGCCATGGTGCTCAAGTGTGTTGGGTTACAACACGGGATTGTTTGCTCCAGGAAGATGCAGTGACAGGACTAAGAGCGATGTTGGCGATTCGTCAAGAGAGCATTTGATTGTCGCCCACAGCTTGCTGCTGGCGCACGGTGCGGCAGTGAAGGCCTATCGCGAAGACTTCAAGCCTAAAGATAAGGGAATTATCGGTGTCACTCTTAATGGTTCGTTATCTCTCTTTCTATCGCCTTGAGTCCACTGACAGTGCGATAGGCGACTGGACCGAGCCATGGGACCCTGCCGATCCCGCCGATGTCGAAGCGGCTGAGCGCAAGCTTGAGTTCGCAATCTCTTGGTTCGCCGATCCGATCTACTTCGGTAAGTATCCCGACAGCATGCGGAAGCAGCTCGGTGACCGACTTCCCGAGTTCACCCCCGAGGAAGTTGCGCTCGTAAAGGGCTCCAACGACTTTTACGGAATGAACCACTACACCGCCAACTACATTAAGCACGTAGACACACCCGCAGCGGAAGATGACCACCTAGGAAACCTAGAGTGCCACTTCTATAACAAGGCTGGCGACTGTATCGGCCCGGAGACACAGAGTGTGTGGTTGAGGCCCCACCCAGAGGGTTTCAGGAAACTACTCATATGGCTGAGCAAGCGCTATGGAGGACCGACGATATATGTTACGGAGAACGGAACAAGCTTGAAGGGCGAGAACGACCTCCCATTGGAAAAGATGGTCAATGATGACTTTAGGGCCGAGTACTTTAGAGGATATATCACAGCAATGGCAAGAGCGAGGGCGGAGAGTGGCGTAGATGTGAGAGGTTATCTAGCCTGGTCGCTACTTGAGTATGTTTTCCTCCTATACCCTGATCAACTATATGTTACAAAGCTAATGGTTTTTTCTATAGTAACTTTGAATGGGCGGAGGGTTATGAGACGAGGTTTGGAGTCACGGTTGTGGACTACGAGGGCGGGCAGAAGAGGTACCCCAAGAAGAGTTTCAAGGTGATTGGGGAGGTGTTTAAGCAATTGATCAAGAAGGATTAGAGCGGTGGAAAATTGTCGCTCCTCTTTCTGTTTCTCTTGTAAGATTTACGCCGTACTTTAGCTAGCTAGTCAAACAAAATATACATGATTGATTGAAGAACAAATAAAATCTGTGCCATATTTTCTTCTGCTTGCAATTCTAGCGCAGACTTGTGATGGTAGCAAATTTACAAGTTAAGCACTCTTATTTCAATGACTACATTCTTATTTCAATGACTACATTCTTAGAACGAGTATTGTCGTACAGGATACGTGACTATTGTTACAAAAACTATCAGTTACGTATACTACAATTGCAACTGTGGACTTATGGCGAGGAATAGGTGGCGCGCGTGAAAACCTGTCCTCAATTATGTCGTATAAAGCTAGAAACTCTAGTAGTCCTGTTAATATCGTCACCGTCTCTTCTCTCATTCTCATCCAATGGCCTGATCTTGCTACAGCCATTGGAACACGCACCGCCAGTTTACAGTATTCAGATTTGAACTACACATCAAGGTTCTTTCGACTACATTATGTAAGTACTGTCTAAATACACTTTGATACTAGTTAGCTACCTAGCTCAACGGAACATCAAATATATATCATCATCACTAATTGGCCAATCGATCCACTCCCGGTTAACCACAGATTCAATCTCCAATATTGACAATCAGGATCAGGATCACACATACCATTCCCTCACGGAAAGTCCAACACCAGAGAACACCCGTAGCCGGTGGTAATACTAGTATACAGCCAAAACGCCATCTACTAAGTACTCTAGACGTCCTGGATCATCCCGGTTTAGATGTTTCCCCTCTCTTCTCTACTCGTCTCTACTCTATTTTGTTTCCGTGTTTATATTTACAACCAGCATTCTTCCGTCCCGTGCCTGCATTACATAGCGGGTCCCAAAAAAACTCACTACATCTCCATCCCATTATCCAGAACATCAGTTAGATAATTACATGTAGTTATCTATAGTAGCACACATATGTGACGACGTCTCTCCACCCTATGAAAAATTGAAAATCCCCCCCCCCCCAAACCAGAAAAAGAAAGGAAAAGGGCAAGCGAAAGGGTAAAAAAGAAGGCGGCCAGTAGAAAAAGAAAAGAAATCGCACATACGCGTTCCACATGACCGGTAGAGCCTACTCTAATCAACTAGTGGGGTGCTACAACCTAAGGGTAGAGGGATGATTTAATGATTTGATGAGATGATGATATGCGCGTCATGAGAAATCACCATCTAGCTGGGGTGGCCAATCGGAAAAAAAGAAGGGCAATATGTACTCTAGGGAGAGGATATCAATTTGCAGACGTATGTACAGTCAGGGACGATTACGAAAAAGGCTTTTTTCTTTTTTCTTTTTTTGCCTTTTCCTTTGGTAAGGTAATTCAGCCTTAGTTACTAGCTCAGTACTGGGCGGTTGTTGTGATAGGTACAGACACATACAAGTAGGGCTTAGTTAGTAGCTAGCTAGAGCACTCCACATCATCGTGAACTGCGCTGTTGCTGATCCCATCCATCTGGATCATGAGAAATCACTTAGCTAGCTAAGCTAACTGCGGGGCGCCGCGCCGTGCTACCGGATTATGCAGGGGTCGTCGGATGAGATGGTGGTTAACGTTCCCTTTGAGCCTCAATTGTTGGCGTCTGTCTAGTCTGCCAAGGTGAGGGGAAGCGGATTCAGCGACGCGCAGATGGATGTGTGCTCAGTGTAGGTGTAGAACCGTGTAGTTTGGAGCACAGGGACAGGGCAGAGGAGGCACATGTAGGTAGCAGATGGATTAGGTACTGTGTGCTTCTTCGGAGTTGTGCTCTCGCTCGGCGGCGGCCCGTCTATTTGTACATATCGGGGCCAGAGCCGAATCCCGAGACGTTGTCAGACAAAACACACGTGAGGCTTCCCCAGCCTGTGATTCGGCCGCTTCCGAACACCACCACCCCACCCCCCCTCGTTGCTCCGATGCCGAAATAACAACAGACTACTTGTTAACCTGCTAGATACACACACACATACCGGTACCATGCCTACAACAAGACACTGATGCCGAATTGAATTGAATTGAGTTGATCTGAATTGAATTGAGTCCCCGTATCCCGCCCCCTAGCTACCTGTTACCTACTTCGATTCGATTCATCCAGGCAGCACAGGCCTGCTAGCTAGCTAGCAGCCTTCACCGCACACCGCACACCGCCAGCTAAGTAAACCAGCTAGCTGTCTGTGTACACTGTTCACCCGGTACGGTAGTTGTGGCAGACACCATGGCCACCAGCACCAGCACCAGCACCAGCACCACCGCCAGCACCAGAGCAAGCAAGAATCGAAGCAAGCCAGTTAGCACTACATTGCTTGAAACGTCTACTTTCGAGACACTCTGCTGTTATTACCCGTCCCTTCCTCTCGCCCGGAGGTTTCTTTTTCCTTTCTTTCTTTGTTTCCATGCACGAAGGGATGGATGGATGGATGGATGGAGCTATGCTTGCTTGCTGTACTCTGCTTCTTTTTTTTTACACCGATGCCGGTGAGAGAGAGGGGGGAACCGGGGGGGGGGGGAGGGGGAGAAAAAACAAGACATTTTATACTCAACCAGAAGCTCATGCATATGTATATGTATACGGATCTCACCCAGGGGCGGTGAACGTCGACCGACCTTGCTTTGGAAGGAGAGGAAGCAGCTGTCGAGCCAAAGTAGGTACGTACATGGTACATAACTCTCTACGTACGTACGTACTGCCTACATGCATAGCCGTTCAGGCGACAGGAATGCCAGTTGCTAGAGTGAGGAAGTATGCTTGCTGGCTGGCTGGCGGGCCCTTTGCAAAACTGCTAGTGCCGGGATTATTATTGACGGGCTGCTTGCTGCTCTCCACCACCCCCGTTTCAATCATTCCCCCCCCCCACGCCCGCCCCCCGCCGAGAGAAAAACTGCTAGCTAGCTGTTGTAGTGAGTGGGTTAGCTCCAGGTCTGGCTGGGATATTTACAAACAGCTTGTTCACATCTTTCCCATACCCGCCGAGCCCAGCCTTGCTATTCTCCCCTTACCGCCCACTGCCCACTACTGCCCACCCACCCCCCCTCCATCAATCCCTTCCACTTCTCATCACGGCACATCACATCACCTTTTTTTTATTAAAGAAGATCAGGCAACACAGGGTATACACAGCTAAGCAATTGGAGTCTTGTCCTGGGTAAACAAGTCGTGTGCCGTGAGTTTGTGTACCCGCGCTGTAATAGAGCATCCGAGAGAGAGCGAGAGCTAGAGCGAAAACAAGAGATCCAGAGAGAGAGAGAGAGAGAGAGCTCTCAAGTACCATATAACCACCCGCCATACCTCCCTCATGACGACTCCCACCTCCAGACACAAACCACACAATCGCCAGAACCAAACCCACGACCCACCAAGCTTCACACCAACCACCAGTCTCCACATCCAGCTTCACGTCTCCTCCCTCCCCTCACCTCTCACCCCACTCACACGACCTCCACCACCGCCGCCGCCAATGGCCGCCATCCCAAAATCCGTCACAGCCCTCAGCGCAAACTGGGAGTTCAAGCAGGCCGACAAAGACCGCTTCCTCCCCGTCGCACAGTTCCCCACAAACGTGCACCTGGACCTGCTCCACCATGGCCTGATCGCCGATCCATTCTTTGCGAAGCAGGAGCTGGACTGTCAGTGGGTTGGCGAGAAGGACTGGATCTACCGCACCACGTTCCGCGCGCAGAAGCCGCAGAAGGGCGAGCGCAAGGTACTGGTATTTGAGGGACTTGACACTTATGCGGTTGTGACGGTGAATGGGGCGGAGGTGCTGCGCACGGATAATATGTTTATTGAGTACCGCGTGGATGTGGGCGGGGCACTGAAGGACGGGGAGAACTGTCTGGAGATTTTGTTTAAGAGTGCGTTTTTGGAGGGGAAGAAGGTGCAGGATGCGGAGAAGGAGCATCATTGGGGATGCTGGAACGGGGATCCAAGTAGGTTGGCAGTGAGGAAGGCGCAGTATCATTATGTATGTCCCTTTTTTTTCTTTTCTCATCATTTTTTTTTTTTAATTCTAATCATTTGGAATTATTTCTTTTTCCCTTTCCTAAATCTGTTGTTGTTGGTTAAGGATCAGCGAGCTCTTGTCGGGGCATGATCGTCAGCACTTTTTTTTTGTGGTTTGCCAATCATTGCCTGATGTGGGACTGACAGTTGCGGTTCTGCCGTTACACAGGGTTGGGATTGGGGTCCAACGCTCCTGACTTGTGGGCCCTGGCGCCCTGTCACACTCGAGACCTACACCACGCGCATCTCCAGCCTGCGCATCACCACAGTGGTCTCATCGTCGCTCAGCTCGGCGAATATCACGGCAAAGACATCGCTCGAGGGTTACAATGCCGAGTCGACATCGATCCACTACAAGATCACCTCCGCGTCTGGTGCCACTGTCCTCGAGTCCTCGGCCCAGTCCGAGGGCGACGATACCGTGTCTGCGCTGACGCTGGAGAAGCCGGAGCTGTGGTATCCGCATGGGTATGGCGCGCAGCCCCTGTACAAGTTCACGGCGACCCTCAAGGACGAGAACGGCGTGGAGATTGATAGCGTCACAAAGACAATCGGTGTCAGGACCGTCAAGGTCGTTGAGCGAGAACTCAAGGACCAGCCAGGGACATCATTCTTCTTTGAGATCAATGGCGTGTCCATCTTCTGCGGGGGGAGCAACTGGATCCCCGCAGACAACTTCATCCCGCGCATTGGCGACGAGCGATATAGAGAGTGGCTGCAGCTGCTGAAGGACGGGAACCAGGTCATGGCCCGGTAAGTCAAGTCCCACATGACCGCACTCACCCGGGCGGTCGGCTTCATGGGTGATCACTCGGCTAATGAATTGACGAATGATATTCAGTGTCTGGGCTGGCGGTATCTATGAGCAAGATGCGTTCTACGATACCTGTGACGAGCTTGGTATTCTCGTGTGGCAAGACTTTGCCTTTGGGTGCGGAAACTACCCAGCTCACATGGAGTCGTTCCGGGAGTCGATCAAGAAGGAGGCCACATACAACGTGCACCGCCTCCACACCCACGCCTGCATCGTGCTCTGGGCCGGCAATAACGAGGACTACCAGTATGCCGAATCGATCGAGCCCGACCACCTTGGCTACGACCCCAAGGACATGAACCCCGACAACTGGCTCAAGTCCGGCTTCCCGGCCAGGTACCTGTACGAGAAGCTCCTCCCCGACGTCGTCGCCGAGCACGGCGCCGGCGTCACCTACCACCCAGGCTCGCCCTGGGGCGGCGTCGACAGCCGTGACCAGACCGTCGGCGACATCCATCAATGGAACGTCTGGCACGGCTCACAGGAGAAATACCAAAACTTCGACAAGCTCGGCGGCCGCTTCGTCTCCGAATTCGGCATGGAGGCCTTCCCTGACATCCGCACGATCGACGCCTACCTCCCCGAAGGCTCCGGCGAGCGATACCCACAGAGCTCCACCATCGACTTCCACAATAAGGCCGACGGCCACGAGCGCCGCCTCGCGCTGTACCTCGTCGAGAACTTCCGCTATACCTTCTCACCGCTCGAGCAATACGTGTATGCCACGCAGCTGATGCAGTCCGAGTGTCTGTCGACGGCGTACCGCCTGTGGCGGCGCGACTGGAAGGGCCCTGGCCGCGAGTACACTGCGGGCGCACTGGTGTGGCAGATTAACGACTGCTGGCCCGTGACGTCGTGGGCAATCGTCGACTACTACCTCCGCCCCAAACACGCCTACTTCACCATCAAGCGAGAGCTCGCCGCTGTGGTTGCGGGTATAAAGCGTGTGCGTGTTGAGACGCCGCGGGACCCATGGACGCGAGTAGACATTGATGTTGAGGAGCGGGTGCAGGTGTGGGCGGGGTCGTTTAAGACTGAGGCCATCGAGGACGTGCAGCTCGTAGTGAGGAGTTGGGATGTGGTCTCTGGTGAGAAGGTGTATGACAAGGTTGTTAAGGAGTTTACGCTTGAGGAGAACCGGTCGGTGGAGGTTGCGGATATGCGCCTCCCGGGATGGAACGGTAAGGCGGAGGGCGAGCGGGATGTCGTGGTGGGGGTGTATCTGGTGAAAGATGGAGAAGTGCTGGCACGGCGTATTAGCTTTGCGGAACCATTAAAGTAACCCCCCTCTCTCTAACAAACAAACCGAAGATACTTACGTTGGGTGAAAAATAGATACGTTAAGCTCCAAACGCCCAAACACCTGAAGACAGAGGTCTGTGGCGACATTGTCAAGATCAGCGCTGAAGTCCCAGTCAAGGGCGTGGCACTGGAGACGACGAAGGAGGGCGTGGTGTTTGAAGATAACTTAGTGGATATCGTGCCCGGTGAGGTTGTGGAGGTTGTGTGTAAGGGCTTGGACGGTGGTGAGGTTAGTGTGAGGTATCTTTTGTAGTGTAGGGAAGGGAATGGAGATGAAATGGAAAAACGGGGGGCTTTTTGTATATTTGATATGGTTTATATAGGATCTTGTGGAATTTACTTTTGGATTTTTGGATTGTGATCTTTGATGTTTGGTCTTGGGCATGTGTGTGTGTGTGTGAGTGAGGATGTAGATATTCTGTGTCTCTGACCGCTTTCACTTGGTGTTTCTCTGTCTCTTGCTCTTGCTCTTGCTCTTGCTCAGATAGGAGGAGGATGGAGGGATGATGGTTGAACTTCTCTGTTGCAGAAGATTGACTTGTAGGCCACAAAACTAACACCTATCCCTAACTGTTTGTAGCCACGTAACCTCTGCAACGTGTTTTAACACCTAATCGATAATCTATCCCACAATTAAACAAAATAAAAATAATAATAAAAAAGATCTGTCCCGCAAGGTCCGAGTGATAGGTTGTGTCTAAGTGCCTTGTTGGAGGGTTGGAGTAAATATGCTAGCTAGTCTCGTGCCCTTATTAATACCCTCGCACCTACACTCTGGATCTCACGGCATCGCACCTGTACCTGTACCTTCACCCTCACGCCCTCCCATATATATGCGCATCTACAACTACATTCACCCTCACTCTCATACTTACTCACGCTCTCACACTCTCACCCAATCCCACCGCCGACAACCAGCTACAGAGAAATCAGCACAACCAAGAAGCACCACATGCACAACCACCCCACTCAACACCGCCGCCGCCGCCGTAGGGAGCACTGAAATGGTATCTCAGCAGCCTATCTCGTGTGAGACCGGCTGGATGGCCGAAATAACCGCTTTAGGTTCCAGGGAGAGTGGCAGAGGCCAGCCTCGACCCCATCATTCCTAGTACACTATCGACAGGCACCGGTTTTCTACTGCAGCTAGAGGGATATAAGCCGATCATTTCCCAGCCAGCCGCACGCTACTCAGCGGAGAAAGAAACCCCTGATGCCAGTCCCCCATACTCGATCGACCCGTATTTATCTACCTCTACGAACCCTCACGCAAAGCCTGCATAGAATTAATGAATTAAATAAAAAAAAAAAACTCTCACGCAGCTAGCCATATAGCGAGTGATACCCAATGATCCACGCCCCTCTGTGGCCGCAAATACCTCTCCCCGTACCTACTCCAGCCACGTCAAAAGCCCTCGGAATGTTCTGCGAGTCTATATTTTCCTCTCTCGGCTTAAATGCCGAGAGCTGACCGCTGCAGTGCTGAGATCAGCAGTGGCTTGATACCGAGCTGGGTAAACTAGTGGTATGTTGACTCAGAATACCTAATGGGGATCTCCAGCTCCGATACCGGTTAAAATTCAGTACTCTCCCCCTTTCCATTGCGATTATAGCTCACTGGAAAACTACATACTCCTGCGAGCGGTGTGCAGGCCGACTAGCTACTTTACAGTCGCAACTCGATATGCCGGATTGCCAAGATTCTAAGGATTTCGTACGGGATAGCAAAAAATCCGGGATAGCAAATTGATTTTGCAGTAGGAAAAATAATATTCTCAGAGGATCTCGTACGGGACAGCAAGGGATCCGGTGTATTGAGTTCCGGCATATTGTACACTAACTAGTGCACCCTCAATTCCTATGCTAAGATAAGAGAAACCCTAACCCTTGTAATAAAGCAGGTAAAAGCGCCTATCCTCTCCGCTAGTTATATAAAGTATGTTAATTCTGCCTTTCCTCAAACCCTCGGAACGGGCCGAGATGTGTGTGTGTGTGTCATTTCCATTTACATCATTTAAAGGCTATCAATACAGCCGAGTGACATGTGATGACCGCTAACCATAATAATACCTCTTTATGACAATCCATCGCGATCGCAGAAAGAAAAGGTATAAACAATGGGAACCCATAAGAGAGTATAGTCAAATTAACTTCGAAATTATCTACAAAACCAAACCGCTCTTGACTCCATCGTTATTTCCCTGAGCTAGGTATGTAGTAAAACAAATAAAACCCATAACACAAACACATTGAGCTCTACTAATCAGACCAACTCGCTCGGCGCGGAGGTCGGAGTGCGGCCTTTAATTGCATGAGCGTCCAACTCCTGCAGCTCCATCCGCGGATCCATTGATTCGGCGCTCAACTCTACCATAGGCTCGTTCTTTGCCATATCATTACGGTCAACATCATTCATCAGAGGCTGCGGTTGCGCCTGCGCCTGCGCCTGCTGAGTGTTCTTCCCTTTCCTATAGAGTAAGAATACAAGCACCCCAATTACAGAGAGTGCGACGAAACCAGCGATCGCGATGCCGGCGATGGCGCCAGTAGAAATCGTAGTTCCTCCCCCAGCAGCCGGAACGGGAGTTGAGGTAGTTGATATGGAGGGTCCAGGAGTGATGGTAGAAGTGGAGGGAGAGCCAGGAGTGGTGCTAGGGCGGGTATCGGTGGCCGTCGCCAGGGCGAGACCAGTACTGGTGGGAGAGGTTCTAGTGGTGGTAGCGCTGCCAGGGACCGGGTCTCTTCCGCCGACGGCATTGCATACTATCCAAATGTCGTTTGAACCTGTAACGCTTCTAGTAGCGCAGAAGGGAGAGGCAGTGCTCAGGCTGTGGTCGGGAGTATATTAACGCACTGTATGAATGGCGAAACAGAGCTGGTTTGAGAATTTACTTACCAGTGGAAGCATCCAATCCCCTCGTCACAGCCAGTAGCAGTGTAGTCATAACAGTCCCTAGCTGTTGTTGGTGCCACAGTGTTCGTACCGGTACTATCATAAAGGTTAGCTACTTGGCTTCCCATCTCCGATAAACATCAAAATTTTCATAATACCTACGTTGCATAACAGTCAACTGTTCCTGAGACAGTGTAGCATAGTGCGTTTGTGCGACAGCTCCCTGAATGCAACAACTCAAGTCAGTCAATAACTCCCGGCCTTGGACTTCACCTTACAGGAAGAACTTACATCCACCGCCACCACCATCAGGGTTACAGCATCTGCCCGTTGGAATACATCCGTCGCCTCCACACGCGGTCAACCCCACACCGCAATCAATCACTTGTCTCTCGAAAAGTCCAGAACGGCCTTGGATTGGCATCCCCATCCAAACATTGGCAGCACAGACATGTTGGAGAAGGGCAAGTCCTACTACAACCACCAACACCCCCAGTTTTCCGCAGCTGATCATTGTCGTAATGATGATCGGTTTTCTTCTTGCTGATATTTGCTCTGATCTACCACGATAAGAAGAGATCTGGGGAAAGAGGTATGAGCAATGGTGACCGGCCGTAATTAAGATCAGTTTGCCCTAAGGAATGCTGCTTGTGGTTTTACTCAGCCCTAGGCCTTCCATTTTCAGCCATCCGGCGCGATACAGTGGCACGGATGCACAATTCATTTCTTTTTCGCAACCTGAAACTCTATTTGCTTGCTGTGGCTCCTCACGATGTCGCAACAAGCGCGCGCCCCACCAAACTCTAGATGATAGGCCAGCATATTGCAAAGAGGGCAAAGGTGGCTAATTTATTTAACCCCCTTTATGCATATATGTCCTTCCTCAGAGCTTCGGTATCTCTTTCTAAACACTGGAGAAAACCCCCATACGTAGGTGTAATAATACGTATATATACATTAGCTGGTACTTGCGGTGAAATTAAGTATTGTCTCAATTGCGCTGGCAACGTTAATTACCATTCAACACCACCAAACTTGAGACCCTATAAAACCACAACCAATAGCTAAAACCAGGTGTATTAAAGTCATAGTCATTTTTATGCTCAAAAGTAATAATCTCCTGCTTTAATTATCATAGATACGGCAGTGGTTGGTGGGCCTATTAAGGAAATGCGTATGGTGAAGTCGATGGTTGCTATCGCGAGAGACAATACTTAATTTCACCGCAAGTACATACGCGCCCTTAATCGACGAACGCCAATCAGATGAGATCTTGGAACTTCAACAAGTGCTCAACTTGTTTTGATACATGTTGCACAGAACGTTCAACCACTCTACTACATGTACGTAGTTATCATTTCCCTCGGCCTTCCGCCGCCTACACTTTTCTTTACATAAGCCCATGGGCTTACTCTTCATAGGAGACAGATTTACATACATGTAGTATAGACATGTATATACCACTTTTATTTGCTCGTAGTGCCAAGCTCATATATGTTTTAATTTGTCCCAATTAACACTAATTGTAATATTCAGATACATACAGCGCACTTGATGCCCTGTCTTCCATTGGTAGTATACGATTATATCCAGAGTAGACAGAGGAAACTTAGTGCAGTAGGAAATATCTGTGAAGATGTTAAATATATCCGGTAGCCATTGCTTTTGGTATAAAGTTCCACGGTTGAGGTAGGATACCAGCTATTGGTACAGGAACCGAAATGGCAGCCATGACGCGTGACCTATTTGAATAATATTAATAGAAGCATAGCACCGATTCTTTTTTTGTTGATTTTCTTTTTTTTTTTTCTTTCTTTTTTTTTTTTTTTTTTTTTGAGTAATGAGGTTTATAATACGGGGTTGAACTCACCGGTCAAAGAAGAGATGTCCATTATTATACCATGAGTTCTTTTGTATCGATATGTACTCTTATTTCCTGTAATTTCGACGTCCTGTTACTACGTAAGGTTTTTAACCAGCCAAAAAAAGAATACATAGTACATCTAGTTATACCGTATGTACAATAGGTAATGTATCCATTCACCAGTCAAAAAACAGTACGGCCAAGAAGTCACTCGCGGGTACATATGACCGTTTGGACCGCAGGAGGTTATTAAGACCTCTGACGAATCGCTAATTGGCACCCAAATTGTTGTTATCCATACCCCCCTCACTCGGATAATTAACGTAGAAAGAGAAGATCAACGTTAATTGTCCGAGTGAGGGGGTGTCCGAGTGGCCAGGGACATCGTCTATCCCTTCGTCTGTCAGTTAAATGCTGCCACCCCGGCCCAAGAAAAAGCAAATCTGGTGTGGCTTTATTAACAGATCTCGTTATCTCTCTTATCAAATAACAGATCTCCCATACAAATTTAATTCCTCTATTATAGGGTGGCAGCATTGATAGACGAATCGATAGCCGTTGACCCCAGGTTATCTGATCCTAAGTGAAGTAATGTACCAGACTATCTCTTAGTCAATCTCTTCTGTCCGTTTCTTATTTGCCGGAAAGATTAACATGAGACGGGAGACATATTTTCTACTGAGCGGGGTCTTCTCCACTACATGTATTAGATACGAAGGAGCTGCCACCTTAGATGTATGCTGTTAGACTCCATTGTGGGGGCTTGGGCGTCGGCACAACATCGAAAGCGTGAGCCAAGACATTTTATCTTGATTGATTGATTGATAATTCATTCGTGTATGCAGCCCGGAGGCTGTGACACTCTAGACATTTTATCTTAATTGGTGGGGTATTTGATGGGGTCGTTGGATCATGAAACTGAAAGGGAGGAATGAGTGCACAGACTTTATGCGAATTGAAGCTTCTGCGCGCAGAAGTTGGCATAAGACTGCCTGGTTACATAGCTACATGTAGTGTATGTAGGTGAGAAGACCGTGAACGAAAAGAGATATATGGAGGGCCGACTACAAATGACGTTGCGGTTGTGACACGATTCGTAGTCAGTGGCAGTGCTAGTGTTGCAGCCTACGAACAGAGCAGCACGTAGATACCTTCATGTATGTGGTACAAGAAGTACTTAACGGCCTGTATTATACATACATCGATGTGCGGGGGGCTGGCCGGGTAGTTCCGCTTGTTGGGACGGTTTGTTTCTGCGTCTCGGCGGCTAGTATGTAAGAGGACGGTAATATCTGTGCTCGGTCAGAGCAAGAGAAACCGGGTCTCCTGGATCTCGAACATCCCCTAACGCCTGAACGATCACTAAATTGATTTGTATGATTCTGCACATCAAACTTGCCAAGACTAAAAAAGGCTTGTTACTGCTGCATAAGTCTCGCTATATATCAGTACATAATTACATGTATACCACTGTAGCATTAATTAATCTATGTATGGTGCGCACACTCTTAAAGGTGACACGGCGGCATATGGAAGTGGAGCAATTGTGGCTGCAAGATAGACTCATGGACCTATTAGAGCGCTCATTTCTAGCCATTTTGCTGCATAACTGCCACAACTCGGTCAGGTTCGCTTTTCGGGGGTATAAATGGGTATAATACTGTTCTACTTTGTTCAGGCTTGGCGCATTTTACCTACAAAAATATACAATTTCAGCTTCTGATAACTTTACAACCCAGACAGATATCAAGAATTAATCTGCAATCATAGAACTAAACTTCATCACTAGTACTAGAGTTCTATCATTCCGCTTTTTTGTTACCATTTTTCGTTGCAATGTTATCAGCCATTGACATTTCGTCGCGATCCGCGCTACCTTTAAGAGTGGGCGCACCATACATCATATCGACGCCCTTATTCACAGAATGATGGGAATCCATAAGGATTTATTGCATGCAGTAGCAGCTTTTGAAATTATACATACCAGTGACTCATGCCAGCGCTTTCCTCCAAATACCTCCTTTATCAGGGTAGTACGAAGTTGTACGGTCTTGATTCCTACATAGGTTTCAAGGCCATTTCTCCCAAGTGATGACTCGTATGTCCTACCTGGGGTAGTTTCCAACCAGCTGAGGGTTTCTCTATTGACTGCCCTAATGCTCCGCCTCTCAAGTCACCGTTGTATTAAAATTAATGGATTAAACAAAAAAAAAAGTCACCGTTGTATGATACCGAGTGATAATCTATGATTACGTAATTTCCACGGTATTGAAACATTCGGAGTAACTGTAGTTATACTCCGAAAAATGGTTTTAGATCTAAAAATCCATTTTTTGTTGCATTATGGAGGCTGGACAATCAGTCACCAGCTCCCGAAATGCATATGCAAATAACACAATATGCCTTCGTGTGGTCTTCCTTTCCTTAGCTTACACCTAGTCATACAACGCCTGATTTTATTTCAAAGGTAAGAACAGATAAAAATGTGTACCTCGAATTAATTCTCAGTACATGATGCGCTCAACAATAAAAGCATATATCAGATAAGAGTCTGGTTGAGTTCCTCACATCGAGCAGAGTGTTTGAGTGGACGGGTTATTATGGTCTGTGTACTTCAGTCATTGCACAAGTTTCTACAGAATTGCCAAAGAGAAATACAGATACTTTTTCTTGTCAGGAGGACAAGCTACTTGTAGGTTTGATACCGTGAAGGAGATCATCAACGCGCCTCAGGGCCCATATCCCTTTGTAATGATGACCACATGAGTAACACGTACTGGAAACACACATTGTATTCAAAGGTGATATATAACTACATGTATATAACTTAGTCGAAGCTTACAATGAAAGCCAATTCTCAATTGGAAGAAATGATCAAAAACAAAAATAAAAACAAAAACAAAAACAAAAACAAACATGAATTCGTGAAGTCGTGAGTACATACGTGTTTACTTTTCAGGCGTTCCAAAACAACAATACTGATAGAAAGAAGAAAGAGGCCCGGATCACCCTCATAGCATCTAATAATCCATCAATTGATCCCGTTTTTCTCGTAATCTAGGGCTGTCTGTCCTTGGTAGTCCTTAGTCCGCGAATCCGCGCCTCTTTTCATCAAGAACTCTACCCACTCCATATTCCCATTCATCGTAGCGAGATGAAGTGGTGTTCTCCCGTCTCTATCCTGGATATTGACATTGAATTTGAAATCTCTTGATCTCATGGACGACAGGAGATGATGAGACCTGCGGACCACCGCATAATGCAGCACAGTCTTCCCATTGCTGTCAGTACAATCAAGTGCATCTCCCTTCTCTAGTAACAATATCAACGACTCTATAGAATCTGGACTCTTTCCTGCCATGTGCACCGCGGTCTCTCCGAACCCATTTTTCAGAGAAACATCTGCGCCCATATCCAGCAACAGTTTAACCATCGCCGGATAAAGGACCTTGTGTCTCACAGCTCGATGCAACGGCCCATCGCCGTGAAAGTTCTGATCATGAATGTTTGCCCCGGCCTCTAGCAGCATCTTAACGATTCCCAGATTATCCGGTCTACTCGTAGCACGGTATAGCGGCGTCTCATCGAACCTATCACGGAAAGAAACGTTGGCTCCGCATTCCAAAAGAACCCTTACAACCGGCTCATGTTCCTCTGCTGCTAGGTGGAGCGCTGTCCACCCGCGGTGCTGGGGGTCCGTGAGGTCTACGTTGACGCCTTTCTGAAGCAGAGTTCGGACCAGACCCACATGACCCCTTCTTGCTGCCCAGTGGAGCGCTGGTATTTTATCTTTATCTAGGACGGCATGTTGGTGGAGAAGTGGAGTGAGAAGGCTGGTGAGATGACGGCTGATCTGGAGGAGACGAGAGATATGCAGTGGAGACTCAAGACTCTCTGCTATAAGGAGGAGTATCTCGTTTGGTAGATCGGAAAGTGAGAGGGGGTTTTTCCCCCCCTTCTCTTTTACTCCCTTTTCTAACTCGTACTGAGATTCGTTTGGAGCGATTGATAATGGTTGCGGTAATAGTTGCTGCACTGGCTGCACTGGCTTCTGCACTTTGATAAACCTTCGTCTGAGTAGCACCAGAGCTGAAAGCCTCGACCTCCAGGATTTCTTTGTCTCTGAGCAAGGCTTGCTTAGCTCCGTCATTGCTCGCTTTTCCTCCCCTTGATACTTCTGTATCCTCTTTCCCTTCCGCCAACTGGTGATCGGGATCAAAAAAAAAAGTATTTTCTTTACGCAGCTGTGTCTTTGACGACATGATCTATCTGTGTTATGACCACGTTATGTATCCAAGTACCAACATAATGCCAAAAATACATTTTTAGAGGTAGGGTAATATCTTGGCGAGACCAGAAGACCGCATGCGGTGCCCTGCATCATATATCGACTACACAATATTAATAGGTGATAACTATAATGGGACTGTGTTTTAGCGAAGATTCATGTACATGTAGGTACATGTAGGCCTGGATAGATGAAAGGAACACTCCAATTGTGCCAGTATCACTAGTAATTAATGGCGTTCAACCTAATGGATGGCCGGTGCTGTAGGATAATTCACATAGCTACATGTAGCTACATGTAGTCGCAGTTAATATGTAGAAAGAACTACATGCATCTAAGATGCATGCCAGCAACAGAACGACAGAAGATATGCGCATATGCCACCAATTTTTTTTTAAATGCTACACATTGTGCAATATTAGCCATTCTCAAGATGCCATTAAAAATGATTCTTATACAGAATGAACAAAGTAGAGTACTACACGCACATACATGTATGTACATGTACATAGTATGTCTAAGAAGCTAGTCTGTAATTGATACGGACGAAGGTGACACCGTTGCTGTACCTAGTTGACTTACCGCAACGTCATCAACATCCACCCCCGAATCACTCCAGAAGTTGTTTTCCATCGCCTTTACGCCCATTTATCCTTCCGGTTTATCACAATTACTGTAAAGTGGCATGGGATTCTCGAGATCTCGCTAATACTTTCTGATGTTTATTCTTTTAAACGACGCTTTGTCGTTCTGAAGGTGATGCTTTCCTGGGATCTCACTCATGACCCATTGGAGGTATGTACGCGATGTAGTACGTACATGTCGTGAGATTTCGTCTAATGAGACTGATACCCCTTCCTGTTAGACACTAGAACCATATCGATCCCTGTCTCATTTGCAAATACACCTCTGCCCTATCAAAAAACAAAGAAATATCTTCAGAAGAAAAATCAACTTTACAATCGAAATTAATAGAACCTAACAAAGCGAGGATGCCTGATCATTCCTTAATTTCAAGCTAGGCCACAGAATAAGTGCTATTGTTTCTACTGAAAGAATCAAACTAGCTCATAAGGTACGAGATGAGGCTCATCCCAAGGAGAAAACACGGGAGGAAAATACGTGTGGTGTGACAACAATGTTCTAGAAAGGTTCTCTTTGTCGAGAGTGCATACCCACGGATAATTACGGTTCTACTTAGCATCGGCCGAGACGCGTACTACCTACTCTACGATGCTCCTCCTTCAGGTCTCAGCCAAAATCACTAAACCTGACGGAGGTGTTTCCTACATGTGCTGGTATCCAATTGAATAAGACAGCGCATTTTTCGTTGTGCCGCACCTTGGCGTATACCGCGTGCCATACCGGCCATACCGATGATGTCAAGATACATGCACAGAGAAATAATTGACCTGCTAGGAATTAAATAAGGTCGTTGCACTGCTCTAATACATGCTGTGTGGTTGACGCTACATGAGTGTTGATCGCGCAATCAAGGGGTCAATTATAAACATACACAAAACCTATCAGTACTGTTGAGTATCAATATATCTTGCTTCGCACATTAATTATGTTCATCTTAACCAGCCAAATTTCAACAATAGATAGCCAGGGCTCATAGGCGGGTCTAGATCTGCTGGCGTCCTCCTAACCTGTTGCGGTCCGTGTCTCTGAGGTGCATGTAAGACTTTTAATTCTCTCCAAATAAGAATTCTATCCGGGCCCTTTGGAATTGATTACGCATGCGTAATTAACGATGCCATTTCCAGCAAACCAGCGGGCAGCTAGGGAGACCGCATGGGCGAAGAAAGGCCGCATGATGCCCTCTTAAACGCCTGGGAATCTCAAATGACTGACTAATAATGGTGTGAGGTAGTTTCTAAAGCCACATTTTCGAGCTTGTCTGGATATTATGAGAACTAATTAAAACATAGGCTTGTTTTGTCTTGATTCGGTTTCCCCTCGGAAGTACTCATTATAGGCTGGCTCAGGCTATGAATAAAAAGGTAAAACACTCTATCTACTGACCAAGTTATCTGGGATCGAGCTATCTCAATGATTAAAGTGTACCTATTTGTTCTTCATCTGTTCAAGTTCAAACTACAATTCGCCATTGTAGTATCAGTATGCTCAAAGCAGAGACCAAGAAGTGGTACAGGAGTACCGAGGGGAAGAACTATTCTATCAATTCCTAGAATCAAAAATCTTCCATCAACCAGCTCGGCCATCTTTTCCCATTGGAAAATATAGACATACTTATCTCCGATGGGCTCTTCCAACAAAAAAAATGGCTACAAGTAATGGCTTACCGATAAACATGCTACGCTATGACATTTTGGTTGCAACTTCATGACGCCTCACTCGAATACGCTCGGACGGACGCGAATAACGGGTAGATTGTAAATCGGCTCACTCACTCACATACAATTAACATGGACACGATACACCATCCTTTTGATCTTTTGGGGGCCAAAGTTAACATTTCTGTGAGGCGACCGGGAAGGTTGCAAAGGCCTAACAGCCAGCCGGATGCCTTCGGATAGGATGTAGGGTTGGTAAATGGAAAGGAAGAGCCAAGATCAAATTGCAAAAGTTTTAGGTCACCTGCATGATTGGTTTTTTGCGGTTTTAGTCGTGTACGGTACGGATGGGTTACGCAGACAGACAGGCATGCAAAGGTGGGAACTAGGTGTTCTGCCCGCGGCCAACTAGGAAGGGAGAAACCTCTTGCCTGTACGTGCCGTGGGCTTGTGCAGATAAATGGTTTGCCCCAATCCTTGCGAAGCCCGAATTCTGGGGTTCGAATGAGGGAGAGAGACCTACCGTTCGTGTCTCTTGTCCTAGGTATGCACGCACAGCACTGTTCGTATTGTGAGGTTAGTTGCCCTTCCTTTTTCCACTCCAATAAACAAATAATCTTTTTTGAGGGAATTAGGCTCAACAGGGTAAATATTTCCGCAGTTCAGTCATTGGAATAATTATCTGTACCTAGCCAGTAAATTATAAACTGATCGAGTAAAAGGGCTAAATGGAGATACGGAGACAGACCGGAGCGGAAAGTAGTTATTCTACTCAATCATGGAGGGAGGGAGCAATCTCAATGCAGTAGAGGAAATATCTCAGCCTTGGGTAAGGGTGGATGGATGGATGGATGGATGGATGGCCCGATGATGTTAGCGCCACTGCTGAGAAACGCCATGCGGGGACGGTGGGTGGGGTAGATCCGACCGGCATTGCTACGGGTGAGTGGGTGAGTGAGTCAAGAAATGAAAATAGTCAAGAAGATTTGCGGGTTCATATTTGTTCCGAATGGGTAAGCAAGAAAAGGATTCGGCTGTAGGCGATAGAGGCACGAAGACCATATTTGGGCGAATGGAGGGTATGAGTGACAATCTAGGGTTCCTCTTCTACATCTACGGTGAGTGGGATCCCAAATTCCGATAGAATGTTTCACGGTTCCGTTCGGACCATATCTTACGCTGACTACCTGCCAATAACTGTTGGCCGGCAAGATTAAGAGGTTTCAGTTACTGAAATCTATCGGCAGGCCGTGCGTAAAATGAGTTGAAGAAGCTTTATGGCGAGCACACATGAGTGATCCCCCGCAAAGTCTTCTCTCTAAGGTAGAGTGCTCTATATGGGCTTATGTCGATTTCATGCAAACAGGCAGTAATTGAAAATCAATAAACGCAATCGTACTTCCCTGCAGCCCTAAATGGACATCATACTTTTGGCTGACTAGGAGAATTTCTTTGCCAATAGTGAGGTAATCTTCAGGGACCATCGATATATCGAATTGTCAGCATTACAGGTTAGAACCAGCAGGAAAAGGGTATTCCGGGGTAGATTACGTCGTGATCGTCACACTTATGCCAGCTTTTTACAGAATATGGCTATGGTCGTACTCTAGATACTGTAAGATGAATGGACAGACTCATTAACGATTCAGATTCGTCCGAACAAGTGTCATATCAAGATCCATCAACACCGGGCCGTCGTCAGCCATCAATTCAAGCAGTATACCGGCATCAGCGGTTAGATACAATGCTTTTTAGGGCGCATATACTAGATTTAATACCCAGCGGAGTGGATTTGACGGGTGGCAGGCACACGGGTGCATACTCAGCTGGACGATCAGGAAACAACTTTTATAGTTAGTCTTCATTTGGAGCCGGAGTTTGTGTTTTCTTCAGCCCTTTCGTATGTCGGCTATTTGAGTAGCAAACAAAAGGCACATTTGAACGGATCTAACGGCAGTTTACTGAGCCTCTCGATAAAATAAAGTTCCGTATCAACCATGTAATTACTGGGTTCGATTGACAGGGGAAGCTGTAACGGTGAAGAGTTTGGGGCTGAGGAGTAATTAACGTAGGCCTGGAGACGACGCATGATATATTTTAAAAAGGCAAGGTCTAGTTAATTAAGTGCTGTGTGGCTAAGTACTAGTTCTTACACGTAACTGCTGCCAACATGGGGGATTTCGGAGAGAAAGGTACAATTCAGCTAAGCGTTTGTAAAGGTCTATACTGGAATTGAGATCTACATCACTCAGGTCAACTACTACTGAGGGTCAAAAGGTTCGGTTCGCGGTTTATAGTATCTCGGTGAAAGTGCTCGGGCTCCGGGATATCTATAGCTAGCAAGCGAGTACGAGAAGGGTTCGATTAAAATTGGATCTAGAAATAATCCTCGTGACGAACTTCTTATTAATAATCTGGCATGGTGAAAGGAGCTGTGAGTTTTAAAAGTCGTTAAATCCAGACATGAATATCATTACCATATACGATGCGATAAGACGGTTTTTTTTCCAAGGTTTGGCCCCCAGCCTTTGTTGGCAAAAAAGCAACCGCAACCAGGCGGGA